GGGGGGGGGGGGGGGGGGGGGGGGGGGGGGGGGGGGGGGGGGGGGGGGGGGGGGGGGGGGGGGGGGGGGGGGGGGGGGGGGGGGGGTGAAATTCGTTTCACCTCGGGAAAATCCCTGGGAATGAAATTGGGGGAGGTCCTATCAATTCCCCCTTTTTTCTCTCTATGGTCCTGGCTCCAGTTGTTCGAAAGGTGGATAACGCTATCTATCGGATAAATCGCTATCCAGGGGATAAGTGTTAACAAAACAAAACAAGCTATCCACTGTATAGGGATTTGTCCAGAAGATAATGTTATCCACCTTTCGAACAACCCGGCGGGTTTGGAGTATGACTTTACTCACTTCATCCTACAGTTACATTTTACCGTGTGTATTCAATTTTTAAAAGGAATGAACACTGTGGACTACAAATATCAGTGGGGAGGGGAGGACTGGGATCTACTGGACCGTGTTCTCAATGCGAAGTTAGAAGTTGAAAGAATCAAGCACCCAGGCCTTTATCATCACTATCACTCTAAACAAATGTCTTGGAATTAGGTGCTGCGAAATAATGTTTTTCAGTCGGTTTAAACCAGCTTTGAAGTCAGTCTATTTATTATCTACTCGATTCACTACGCTACGAAAAAGAAAAAGATAAAAACGGTCAACTGTGATACTGCAATAACGTTTTTATTTTTCCCTCGATACAAACACAAACATTATCATATTTATAACATCTATGATATAATTATAATGTATATTTCAAAGGAGATCACCGTTGTAATCTTGTCAGTTTTATTGAGACTGGAAGATAAATGAACCGCTCGGTTTTCCAGTTAGCCTCCAGCCTTGTTATGTCTAATTGTAGGACAAGAGAGATGAAGGAATAATTTAAGGTTTACAGTTTAGTTTAAGGGCCCATTAACCGATTTATGCGCGTGCTCGCGCGCGTTGCTAAGGAGGTGAGATTTCACTTCCGGTTACTTACGTCAGCCTGAGCGCAGAAAATAAAAATAACTCAATAACTTCCAAATTTGCTCACATTTTAGGGGTTTTTCTTTGTGATTCACAAAATGCAAAGTAAAAAAAGTACAAGCAAAGACAAAATACGAGAAAGACAGAAAAACAAGAGCAATAAAAAGAGAAAAACTAACTCCGTGTGGCTTTGTTTGACTAAAAAGTCGTTGCTGATGCGTGACACTTGGTTAAAAACGATTGAAGTGCACTGGTAGTGTAAATTGCGCACGCCCTGATAGGGTAACTTCCAATATATATCGGGCGCACTTCCGGTTTCTTTAAATGCTAAAGGAAGCGCGGTTTTTCATTAAATCCAGCCTTTTTTGACGGATTTCGATTAAAGCCAACGTTGGAAACATAGCTATGCATTCCTTTTTCGAAATCATGCTTTTTTCAGAAAATTACGAGTTTTTTAATATTTTGAAATTCTCTCAAAATTTCACCTTTTAGAAATGAAACAAAATCTATGCATAGCGTTATGAGGATTTAAAATAAAATATTAAATCAATGAATTAAATCCCGATAAAGTAATTTTCCTGGGAGCCTTTGGGTTTTTTCAGTATTAGTCACATGACCATGGGCGTGGCCTGATGACATCATCACTAGTGTTGCTGATCATGAAAAAGTTAAAACACATGAAATAACTCTGAAGTAACTGAAAATGATGAGGTTATATGAGAATAAATTTTCCTTAGCAACGGCTTGAAAAGATCGGTTAATGGGCCCTTAAGGGAGAACAAGAATTAACAAATTGGGGTATTGATCTGACATTAAATAATGTTTTAAAAAGAAAATACGGTAAATTGAGTCTTTGAAATGGGCTGGAAGTTCTTTTCAAAAATGTATTTCCATTAAAGAAATCGTCTGTTTTCCGGCATATTTGTCCTTGTGAGTGTTAAGTGAAAGTCAGTTTGTGCAGCTGCATATCTTGCACTGTAACTAAATTGTTGAATAAATTAGGCAATTGAATTATATGCCACAGGTGCAAAATTTTTAAAACATGTAAGCAAGAAACATTATTTACTGCTTGGATATTAATGCGTTTGATTACAGACTGAATTCCCGGCCCGCTTTGCGGCCGTCCGATTTTCTTTATCACTCATTTATACGGTATACCTCCTTTAATTACTAAATTACAACAAAATTCATAACTGTTCATCAAGAGGCACTATTTGAGCATGTGGTGCACTTTGATGCGTTATGTCTTTATAACTGGACAATGTTCATGTCACACCTTTGTAGGGACATTACTTGATACTCACGTCATTTGTGTTTGCTGTTATCGGACAGAACCAGTACTTCTCTCGTGGATTTCTTCACCTACTTCATTCACCAGAAAGTTAGACTTTTCGTCATTTTTTTTTCTCAGATTTTGTTATAGTTATCATTATTAATTGGTCCAATGCAATAGGCCACGTTCCATGTATCAATATTCTAACATGGCTCCGAGGCTTTCAGGACAAACTTCTATATTTGGTGTTGTTTTCTTTGTATCCAAGTCTCTTTTGGGAAGTGAAAGACGAAAGAAACTTTAAAAATTTACAATTTTGACCCGAAAGCCTCGGAGCCATGATAGAATATTGATATACCGAACGTGGCCTATTCGGTCTGTAATTATACTAATATTCGTGATTAAACGGAATTCCCGGCCCGCTTCGCGGTCGTCCGATTTTGTTTATCACTCACATGATAACAGACCAAAATTGACCTAATGGGACTCCATTGATCAGTCTATCACCATTATTTATCAAAGATTAAAAAGAGGTAGAGGTAGAAACACCCACCGTTTGGCACATCTTTCTGCTGAGTTTATATCGCTCTGTCTGTAAAATTAACGAACCGTACAGTATGTTGAGGTAGTGCCTTTTCGTCGGCAGCGCGCATATTAAGAGAGTTTAGACAAGCCATTTTTTATATTTTGCTGAGACGCAAGCGACACAAAATGCTCATGGTGAGACAAAACGAGCCTTATATATACTGCAACAGATGTCAGTATCAAAAGGTACGATTGGGTATTTCCGTGACCATACTCGGCCATCTATTGGGCCATATCAGGTCGGTTACTTGATATCGTAAGATATCAGGACGTACGGTATCGGCGGGCCTGGCTCCTGATTGGCTAATTGCGAATTTGGCTACGGTGAGTAAAACAGGTTACATCGAGTGGTTTTCGATTGAGTATCGTAAAACCAAAACCAATTAAACCAGTCACTTACCAATTCGGCTACTCAACCAATCTAAAACCAGAGAAAAACCAAAATCAAAGTCAAAAGCAGAGTCATTGCCTGATTACTTCCCACACTCAATTAAAAAGGACGAGGAATAAGCTAGATTATAACTGCAATATTGATAAAGCGGTTAAGTTGGTTTTGGTTTTGGTTTTACTTCGGTTTGGGATTGGCTAAGCAGTCTAATTGGTAATTAAGTAATTGGTTTGGTTTTGATTTTGCGACACTCAATTGAAAACCGCTCTGTTTTGTAATTTGGGGTGTTTTACATCTTTGGGAGACTGATGGTTTTTATTTTTTCATTTGACACTCATGGCTTTATTTTATGCTCGTATATCTTCTCTTCAAAACGATATTTTTGTCATTATTTTCCCTACAGGATCATTATAACTTCTTCTGTAAGTTCTTTGCTGGGGGAAATTTTGCAAAATAGGAATATGGTCGAGTTGTCTCCTTTCTCCTTAAAAACAAAAAAATTCTTTCAAATTGCACACGAAGGAGAAACCAAGTGAACTCCACCTATTATGTGAGGCTTAAAATCGGACCACTTATACACGTTTCCCTCCCCTGTCCCGCACGATTTCGACATACTGGCAATCTCGTGGTAATCTATGACTCGATTCCATATATTGACACCCGTCATTTCGCCAACAAAGCTCTGAGACGCGGCGAATCCTCCTGCTTCTGAGTCTTGCTCTTGTCCCAACACTAGAGATCCAGCACCACGGATCACGTAACCTAGAGGGAAAAAAAAAACATTGAACGATTAGAAGCGCGCGGACTTTTATTTCTCTAGATTCCTGCAATGTTGTAATCTCCCATTGAAGTCATAAGTTCCCAACAAAATTTGCAAAGATAGATATGGTGGCGCGCAGGAAATTTGAAATCCTAAAATAACTGAAGTGTAACACCCAGGATTCAAAACAGGCAAAGAATTATCGACTTCAAATCGTCTAAACATTTTAACACAAACACCAGCTTATGATCTGGAATAATTTTTTTTTTTTTTGGATTTTAGGCTCCTTTCTCCTAGTCCTTGAATAAATCACACAAAAACTACGTCTCCTATCGGACCGTGAAGACAAATATTTTCACTTTACTATAAAAACAGGTGAAGACAGACTGCAAAAGTTTCATTTCTCCGTTGGTCGTTCAGCGTAACCGTCATGCCTAACTTCTCTGTTCTTAAATCAGGAGTAGAATGATAAACTCTAGCCACTACTCAATGAAGGATTCTGGCATCTCGACAAGATCCTAGTCATTTTTATAGCTGGAAATGACCTCCTGGACAAGATAGATAGGTGAAATTGTTATTCATTTTTCTTTATCAGAACAATCACTGAGCTAAGATTTATCTAAAAATTTTGGTGAAGAAAAACAATTTGATCTTAATTAGCGCAACTACGTGATTCCTGTGTGCAAAAGAAAAAAAAGAACTTTCATTGAGTAAAAAAAGAAATTTTAGTTCAGCATTGAAATAGAGAAAAGTGCTGATTATACCAAATTATCGCGTACTATTGTTTTCAAGTTATACCTAACGGTTTTCCTCCCTCTATTTATTTATAAAGTTGCATTTTTTAGTAGAGCTCCGGCGGCCCGAAGAGCCGGCAAGCGGAGCTCCATACTCGTAGCGGAGCTCTGGCGACCCTGAAGGGGTCGCCAAGCGGAGCATCATAACTATAGGAACAGAACCACTTGTATGCATAGGAATAGAAAACCATGCAACTCTTTTTTCATGGTCAACATGATTAGTAGCATGGATCACGGGCGCGCGGGCCCAACGATGACGAAAAATGACGACATCGCGCAACATGGCGGCCATACTCCAGCTAATATTCTGACGGAGACTAGCCTGCAAACAGGCTCCCTGCGAGGACTGAAAAAAAATTAGGCGAGCAAAACGAACGGAAGAACTGAAAAATTCAGAGAGTGAAGCGATCGAGGCGGGGCGGCGGAGCCTGTAGACTGTTTTTGGTGTGTCTATCTTCCCTTAGTGATTAGCCTCTAACAAACTGGTACTTGCAAATAGTCCTAATCAAACAGCCGGGCCCGGCGTCATAATATAGAGTGCAAGTAAGCAACATTAGTTCGTATAGTGTGATCGTCCGGGTGAGTGTAGTTCTGAAAAGAACTGTTATTGGTGACTGACGTTTCGACAACCTGAGCGGAAGTCATCTTCAGAGTCAAGTGAATAGTGTTTAACTAACAGACCGACTTAACAATACACGGACCAAAAACCGACCTACTTGACTAACAATAGACGGATCGAAACCCACCAATGACTGATGACANCGTCAGTCACCAACAACAGTTCTTTTTAGAACTACACTCACCCGGACGATCACACTATACGAACTACTGATACTCCTGGGTTCAAACCATTTACTGAGTAAGCAACATGCTCACGGGATATTTCAAACTTTGTCCTTCAAGAGTCAATACATAGAGAGCTTAAAACATATTTTACAATAGAAATAAGCCTAAACAAAGTATAAGAACATGGCAATTTACAGAGTCTGGGGCGTTATTATCTGAGAAGCGACATGCAGATAACAGCGGAAGCCATGCAGGCCTTTGACCTCTACAAAAGTTGCTACAGCACCGTCAAACGGTTCATCTGCTTAAACCCTTGAGGAACATGTTTGGACTGAGGAAAGGCCGAGAGACCGAAAATTAAAAGAGAGTGGCAAATGCACAGATGGCAAGGACCGTAGGAGTCGTGTCGGGCGGCCAATTTCGACCGCATTTTACGAAGATCTGTCAAACATTTATCTCAAAGATGTCAACAATGAGCGATTTAACCAATCAGATCATGATACCAGATTCTGGTATCATGGAAAGGCGGCATCAGTAGAATGTCCACCTCATCCTCACCTCACCCTCACCTCGTTTGCGCTCGCCGGGAGCCTGCATGCTCGCAGGCTAGACGGACGCATGCAATATTAGTTTACAGCGTCCTTCTTTGATATTGGACATCGATATTATGGCCAATTGACACCTGTCAAAACAAGGTATCCGCTGAAAAAGTATTACATGACCATACACCAAGTACTGGTTCTCGATTACATGGCAAGCGCAAGATTAACGTAACAAGGTTAACATATTGTAATCAGGAGCTCCGCTTTAAGGCTTGGATAAATCTATACGTACAATGTATATTACCTTTCTGCAATCCGTGACCTTGATCTGCAACAGCACCATCTTTGTACAACTTCCAAGATCCAGCGGTATTTTCCCATGTTGCGCAGATGTGGTGCCACTTCCCGTCAATAGCAGAAACAGACGTCTTCCTGGAAGAAAACAAGATACCGAGCAGTACAATATAAGCAAGGAAAAAACCGTTATTTTGATTGCTGGCGAAAGGTATAATGTCGTAAGCAGAAATTCGTAAAATAGGCTGCGGGGGAGGCTATAGTAACTACTACTCTTGGGACTATGATGGCTGTGTCTTGAAAGATATAGTGGGTTAAAGTCTGAAGTTCGGAGTTTGACTCCTAATCGATCGGGTTGTCTGTATTATTAAATAATTACACAAACAAGATATAAAATAAATAAAATTAAATAACTTTATAAATCGTATAGCGCTAATATTAGACCTTTTCTTCTGATATTTGGTGAAAATTATTCCTATACAACTGGTATTAAAGCTATTATTTTTTGATTAAATCATTTATACCCGAGAAATTCGCGTAGTTTTCTTGTGATTCCCTCAGCACGAGGAAGCCATGCATAAAATAACTGTTTGGGAATTTATATCTGACAAAAGTACAACTGAGAACTAAAGTGTATTACACCATCATCTGATGGTGCATTACAGTATCAAAGCGTGAAGTCATTCAAGGAAATCTCTCTCGCTGGAATTTGTGTTTGTCTAGCTATAGCGCGGTATCCTAATTGCTGACAAGTTACTTCTCCAAACAAGAAATCTGCGTTTTAACGAAAATGTAATGTATTGACATGAAACTTATTCTATCCAGCCAGTTAGAAGCGGTGTCGCTCTAAGAGCCCAGTTAAATGAATACTTAAGCCTACACACGGACTGATGATCGATCGCTTCATACGAGATCGTTCTATCTTAAAAATTTTGTACTTCAAAGCGATATCTGGATATGTATTACTTCTGCTAAGGAAGGATATCTGTGATATGCAGGAAGATTGCCAAGATCAAATACGCTCTCTCGGTCAAGTTTGTGATCACATTTAAAATGACTGATGACACTCACACAGCTGTCTAATTAGAATCTCAGCGCAAATTGGGTTTGCTAAATGAATAGATTATCAACTATAAGAAAACTGAGATTACAGATAAATAAGCGGAAAAAAGCAACGGAGTCCCGTTCAGTGTTGGGATCAACAGCTTTAAAACTTTGAACTAACTTTCATGACATTTTCTTACCTTATGGACTACGTTAATGACCAGTTAGTCGAATAAAATCTGCTAAAGTAAGAATGAAGAAGCATACCGTAAATCTTCGAATTTAGGAGAAGACGGGGAGCGCTTATTCGAGGGAGGAGCTTATTCGAAAGGGGAGCTTATTTGAGGGGGGNTAATCGTGGCCTGACATGATCATTTTTTTAATACATCATCTGCGCGTTAACACCAACATAAGCTCTTTATTGACATAAAAAGCTGATCCTAAAGATTAAATCGCGGCATCGCTAGTACTTAACGTGTTCAACGTGTTCACAAACTGAAACAATGTGCAAATCTAATACTACAGAAAACTATACACCCTTTGTTGTCTCATTACTCGTTAAGCGCTCTTTTTGGAATTAGTCGCGTTAGAATCCTTAACTTATTTTTAGTCTCCTGTCCAATTTTTCAGTCAAACCTTGCCCTTTTTACTGACCTTTCCAAGGAGTTTGATAGCGATGTTTAAATTACTTTATTGCTAGTTCACAATTCGACCCAAATAAAGAAAAGATTCCTTACAATAGCAGCGGCACCTCGTTAGAGGATGTTTGTACCAAGAGCACGTTCAGTTAATGAGATGGATAGTTTTAACTGGAAATCCCGCCCACGAAGCTGGGAGTTTGCAAATCTATTTCTTGTAACACTCATGTTGTATGAAATAGTTAACAACAACTTTTTTCTTTTAACTTAGTGTTATCCTAAACTTTTAAGCAGTAGGAACGGAGATTGTAACTTTTATATCGCTCACGTTACCTTATTTAGGTCAACCACTTAAGAATAGTCGGTTAAAATCAAGTTAGAAAATGTTTTAGTCAACCTCGATAACCTCGAAGGAAAATATGCTAAGTAGCTTGGTGCGCAGTCGCAATAGAACCCTATTCGAACTGTGCATGACATTACGTTAGCCTAATTGACAGTTTGACATTGATTTGATGGATGACGTGGTTGTCCCTTTAAAAGGAACGTGACGAGTTAGCTCCTCGTAGTTGTAGTAATTGCTGTAATCAGTCAAGAGTGGCGGTAAGAGAACATTGCGAGTATTGTACCGAAGTCATCAATAGTGGAAATAAAAAGAGAAGCAACCAAACAAAGAGTGTTGAAGTGATCGGCTAATTTCCCCAAGGTCGCTTTAACAATAGTTAATAGAAGGGAATGGTTATGAAACCGCACAAAGTTCTCAGTGTTGTAGGTTTTTGTTCGCTTTTTCGGCCTTGACCGTGCACAAAACACAATAATTGTTTACTCCGTACTGAGGAACTAACCAATAGAAACGTTTTGATTACGTAATTCATACACAGTGTATGAGCGCAAAACAAAAGAGTGTGCACGGTCGCGGACCTTTCAACATAAAGCTTTGCATCTTTGTTTGCTTCTTTGACGTTTGCCAGGCTTCATAACCATTTCCCTCTAAAAGCTATGTCCTGAGATGAATCTCTAACAAAGGTATTAAGACAAGATAGTTGGACAAAAGGTACAAGGTACAGCATGAATGAAATATTAGTGAAAGTTTGAAAGATTTGTCATACTGTTGTCAAAGTAGATCAATCGATGTATGNTGGCTATTTTGCAGTAATTAGTGAATGTTTTTCGCCCTTGCGCCTCAATTAACTGGACGCCTGGAAGAGGCGGGAAGAGGCTAGTTCAATCGGAAATGCAGGGGCGTAGCCAGAAAAATACTATGACTGAGGCAATTTCCATAGTAAATTCTCTTCCTTGCTTACTCTTGTTTATTGTTTACTCCGTACTGAGGAACTAACCGATAGAAACGTTTTAATTGCGTAATTCATACACAGTGTATGAGCGCAAAACAAAAGATTGTGCACGGTCGCGACCTTCCAACATAACGCTTTGCATCTTTGTTTGCTTCTTTGTTTGCTTCTTTGACGTTTGCCAGGCTTCATAACCATTTCCCTCTAAAAGCTATGTCCTGAGATGGATCTCTAACAAAGGTATTAAGACAAGATAGTTGAACGAAAGGTACAAGGTACAGTATGAATGAAATATTAGTGAAAGTTTGAAAGATTTGTCATACTGTTGTCAAAGTAGATCAATCGATGTATGTCGAATTAATGTGGAAAAACTTCTGGATGGGACACAAGTGGCCTTATTGTGGATGCTATTTGAAAACTCTTAAAATTACATATTAAAAAATCTCGAAATGTTAAAATATAGGAAACGACCAGTAAATGTATCTAATAATGTAATGGGAATAAAAACGTCTAGTGATTAAAGAATAAATTTGACTAATTCATTCATCAAATAATGCGAGCAATGCAAGCCTGGCCAGATTCGACTTTATTCCAATTTTAAGTAAAGCCTTTACCTCATTGCAAAAGGGATGTTCCAAGGGTCCACGTTTGACGGCTGATGTTTAGCCACGTTTATATGGATTTAAAATTGCATTGTAAAACGTAAGTTGCCCCACATTCAGATCAAAGTTTTCTATGAGCAAACCCGTGAATTTCCCAGTAAATGATGGTTGACAAGAGCTAACTTTTGCGTTTTATGAAATTACTCTTTTCGTAAGAAACACTAATGTTTTAAAGAGAAAATTACAATAAGCAGCAACCATTAAAGCTTCTTTAACTGAAAATAATGATTCTGACAGTGAACTTTGCAAAGATCTTTTCTCGATCCGGACTTATTTGAAAAAGTGTTTACCACCGCAATACAAAAACGTCGACAGATACAAGGCAACCTTTCGATTACGTGAATTAAACCTTTCGAAGCATCTACGTCATTGCATGACATACTCCTGAACGACTGAGGTAATAACATTAATAACAAATTTTAATTTTAACACAATTGATCTGAGTTATTTGAACTAATAGTTACAAATTTACTTATAAATGAGAAATGAGTGGAAATTTTAAATGATAGCTGAGATTATAACGCCCCAAGATAAAGAGCTTTCACTGTCATGTATATCAATCTGCCCAGTGAGCTTGATATCATGCGATTTTTTCCAGATAAACCTATGCGACAATTGCTTCAGTGCTAAAGAAAACATGCTTGCTAGTCGACGGAAGATATTGGTCTTGGGAGACCTGCCTTTCAAAGAAGCTGAGTAAATAAATTGATATTTCAGCAGAGTAACCTTTTATGAGAAGACAAAGCAAACACAACGTTATTTACCCAGGATTCGAGACTTTTCGATAATATATTTACTTTGTAGGCAACCTGTTAAGTTTGAAGCTTTATTTTTTGCTGTTGTCCATATGTCAGCTAAACGGTCTGTCTAACGTGATTAAGGTGTAAATCTTTAGCGATACGACTTTGCGGAATAGGTAAGCTTGTGGTTTACCAGTCTGTTTTCTAATACATTGCTTTAAAGTGAGTCAGCCAGTATTTAGATAGTTCGAGAAGATAAATGTTGTAAAATGTTTTTGTCCAAGATACCTCGCCACTGAGTCAAGAGCTGCTGACAATATTAGACTTTGGTGATTCAAGTGCTATATACGAGAATTTGACGGCAAAGCGCGGGACTTTTTGTGCGTGGAAAATAAAAAAATTGCCATGCTTTGATCTAAAACATAAAAAAGATACTAGTAATAATTAACACCATTGCACAAGAACCCGGGACAAAAATAATAACATTGCTTAAAATCAAATTAAAAAAAAAAGTTGTGCGTTGAAGAGGAACCTTTATGCTGGGCTCGCTCTGTGTAAACATACAAGCCGTAATGAAGCTTTTTTCCCCGGGTTTGGCTCATTTGTCCCGATTTGAACAGACTTGGATATTTCAATATACGTTTATTGACCGACTCATGCGTGTTCAAAACAAAAAGAAATACTGATGTTTTCCGCTTCAATAGGCAGGCGAACTTAAAATTCATACTCAACACGACGTCACCGCTTTAGAAGCGAAAATAAATGCATGCTGTGTTTTTGGAGGCCATTGTACGTCGAAAAGGTTTGCAGTAGGTAAACTAATCGATGGAAACGGCAACTGGGTATGCAGTACTTTAAGTTAGTGAGCCAGGTAAGTTTGAATTGTTGCCATAATCTTAAATATCAAGATAAATTCTAATACTACCGAAGACTAAATAACTGACTAACGAATCTGTGGAATTTTGGCCTTCGCGTATCGCTTTTATGAGCTTAAGATACAAGGAAATGACTGAGTTTGCACTGAATGGATTTCATTTCACGTTGGCTGTGCCGTTCCCGACGTTTGTTCGTGATTTTCCAATTAAGTTGGTGGTAAACTTGCCTACTTGTTACTTACTATTAATGGTAGTTATTAATCAAAATGCACACTTCCAAACTAAGTCAGTGTGAATTAAGATACGAGCGAACTGGCGCAATGGTATGCTGTGGAAGTTCAGTTCGCGCTGGGCAACGATCAGCAACACTAAAAAAAGATATAGGATCGTTTTACTCGTTTAGGAGAATTGGTGCAATTAGCTGTAGTCATTTACCGTAACTCCTCGAATTAGCCCCCCCGGACGCTTATTTCAAATTAGGAGAAGACGGTGGGCGCTTGTTCGAGGGGGGTGCTAATTTAATTTTTTCCAAATTGTGGCCTGACAAGATCTTTTTTCAAATACATCATGTGCGCGTAAACAAAAACATAAGCTGTTTATCGGCAATACAAGCTGATCCTAAAGTTTAAATCGCGGCACGGTTAGTATTTGTAATTCATTTTTTTTAAACTTACGGTGTTTACAAATTGAAACAAGAAATTGTAGGATGCAACTTGGAAAAACAGAACTGATGTTTCCTGTATTAAATAAAAGTGCTGGAGCGATCTGTGTCCATGAATAAAATTCAAAAAAGGAGTTTAAAACAGATTTAAAAAACGTTAAAACTGAATTTTCCACCGCCTTCTGCGGTCTTCTTCAGAGAAATGTTCTCAGCAGGAGCCACGGAATGCAAAGGTATCCGGTCACCTCGCCACCAGGAAATTTCGCTACCAACGAACTCGCCACCAAGCGAAGTCACCTCGCCACCAAACACCAACAAAGAGATAAACTAGTCGACTAAAGTAGTGGAGGTGAATTAGCTGGCGAATCGGTTTGCCGCACTCTTGTTTTGTTACTTTCTTGTTATGATTGTGCAGTATTCTTTTGCATCATTGAAATGGACAATGCATTGCCTTCTTTGCTTTTTTTTCGAGTCGCATACATAGATTATTCCTCGTTCTTTTATCCACTGCCTTATTAGATTACTGGTGGCGAGGACACTTCGCTTGGTGGCGAGGTGACTTCGCTTGGTGACGAGTTCGTTGGTGGTGAAACTCCCTAGTGGCGAGATGACCGGTAACCAATGAAAATATGTAGCTTAGACATCATTGTTCATTGCCCCTTGGGGAGTAAACCAGTAAACATGTAAATTACCAATGATTGTGAAAAAGGCTGGTCGAAAGTGAAACTATACATTTGTTGTCTAATAACTCGTCCATAAAATGGGGGGCGCTTATTCGGGGGGGGGGGCGCTTATTTGAGGAGTTACGGTATTACAAAGTCTTAATTTATTTGTTTTATTTATCCAGTTTCCTCCCGTCCTAGACTGAAACAACAAATCGATCAAAGCGAAAAAAAATAAATAAATAAAAAGAACACATAAGTCACTGAGCGTATCTTGTTTGTGCAGTTGCATGGGTTAAATAAATAAATCAATAATTAATTGATTGATTGATTGATTGATTAAGTAAATTACAATATCTACAAAGGACGCCAAATCAGCTCTAGCTGTTTTAATTCAATTCCTATACGCAGCATGAATTGGAACTTGAAAATATTGGTTACTCAAGGTTGGTTGTAATACCGACTTTGTAATACCGTAAATCCTCGAATAAGCGCCCCCCTCCCCCCATTGGTTACTAAAGGGATGAAAACCCAGAGTACCCCAGCGGAGAAAAACACTACTGGAGCATAGGCGAGGACCATCAACAAACTCAACTGAATATGGCACAAGGCCGGAATCAGTGGGAGGCGAGCACTCTCACCACTCCGCCATCCCTGCTCCTGAGTTATGCTCGCGAGCAAGGCACGTTAACCTCGCAGAAGCTAGGATAGTCCCCTGGGATATACATGCTAACTTGTTGGACGACATGGCAAAATGTCTGGGGAAGGGGAGAGGTTATCTGCCAGGGACTGGTGTCCCATTCACGAGGGAGAAGATATCAGTAAAAGAATGAAACTGAGGCCGCAGATCAAGCCCAGCTGTATTTGGACGAAAGTCTAATATCATCCATCAGCACAAATAGCCAGAAAAATTTGGCCCTAAACCCATTCCTCCAAGGTCTTCAACAGTTTTGTCTTAAATCACAGAAATATCCTGGACGTTTTGTCGGGACTATGGGACCCAAACAAACATCTCTAGTCAGTCTTGACCTCACACTTGGAATTCCTTACAGGCATTTTCACTGACCTGTGGTTACCTCCAACGAACAACATAAATGACTTGTAGTTGTAGATGATAAACTCGTTATCCTGATCAGGCACAGCGTAACCCAGAGGAGTTCCTGTACTCGTATCAGTGGCTTTCATCCACAAACAAGCTGTCAAAGCTGAGAGATTCGGCATGCTGCCACGGATAATGACGTAGTCGCTTACTCCCCGACGCGGAAACAGGAAGGCATTTCCAACTACACCATCATTGAATGAAAAAATCCATATAAAAGAGGACAGTTAATAACACATGTACAAGCAGTGCATTGTAAAACAAGAAAACGTCTCCATAGTTTCATTACCTGGGTTCTCCTGAAATGTCTGAAATGTTAATATTTGTGTTGTGAAGTCTTGTTTTTACACAACTGGTATTCATTTTTATCACTTGAACTAATACACCCAGCCATCTCTGCCTGAGCTATGCGTACCCGGGCTATATTCAGGTATTCGTGAGAGGCAGATGTTAGTTTTGAATATATATCACGGCATGAGGAGAAACAATTGCGTGAAACGGGTGACAAAGGAACCCCATGCACACTGAATTCAGGTCGTGTTATAGTTGACATGAACAATTCTAACAAGTGACACTGCAAAATCTGCGAAGAAAACCGCTAGCCCCCGGCCCCTCCCCCCCTCCCCGAGGACTCCCATATGAAAACGACGGACCGCTTGTCGGAAATTTTGAAAAGAAAGAGGTACCAAGATCCTGTTTTGTGGACGTGGCTTGAAATATTTTTCTCTCCTAAGGGATACCAATTCTTACATAACACATTATCTTCTGTCATATTTTTTCGGCGCAATACCCTAAAAGGTACTGTAAAAGCTCCCGCTGTGGACCTTTGGAGGCTAAACAGCCTAGGAGAAACCAAAACAGCGTTTTAAACCCCTAAAAGGTACGACGAGCACCCCTGTCATTTTTATACGTTTGTTCCCCCCCCCCACTGTATCAGTTGTGACCCGGGCCGCCCCAGCACGTCATACTTTTTATAAATTTATATCACTGCAAATATCCATAATATGCATTGTTGTCTATATCGAGTAACGAGTAAATTACCTTTGTCTTCCAATGTGTGGATTTGTGTTTTCAAAGCTTGAACGTCTTTGACCAGTTTCTTATTTTCAGCGTTCACCGACTCCAGCTTCTGTAAAATTCGTTTCAGCGAAACATTCGTATCCTCTTTGGTTGACGAAATGATAACTTCGATGCGCTGCCCAGTAATGAATACGTTCTTCTTCTCTACGGACCCAACTTTACTGTTGCTTGCTGGTGCTGCACTTGCGAACCCCAACAAACACAGTAGTAAAACTGAAGGCGCCAAGAAATTGGACTCTCCAGAGGCCATGTTAACGTTAACGCTTGTTCGGTAGCTTAACACGAACTGAAATACCTACGCAACTTCAAGGATGACGTATCATTTTTTTTATATTTATAGGGTGTACACGAGTCGCCGATGCTGTACATATATGGTCTGACACTTCCTTAAAAGGAGCTTTTGACCAACAGTGAGCTATCGATCCTTTAACACTAAAGGAAGTTGAGCTTTGACACTAAGGGAACATCAATTCAGGCTCAAACGGATATGTGGATAATTTAGCCGCACACATCTTGACGACGTTATGGCAATTTGGATCTACGTGTACACTAAAACAAAGAAACATCTCTGATAAGCCACTTTCGATATATTGAAATTCAGCTTGATAGCGAGGCCCATAGAGGACACAAACAAAAGAAATGAATAAACAAGTCATTCAAATTTCCTTTGTTTGTGTCCTCTAAGCCTCGCTGCCAAGCTGAATTTTAATATATCGAAAGTGGTCTATTGCAAAGAGAAGAGTGAGGTAACTAAAGAGCTACAACAAAATTAATGTACCCATGCAAAATACCCAGGGTTTTCTCTCGCGCAAAACGCAAAGAAAGCCTCGGAGAGGTGTTACTAAGTACCAAACGAAAGAAAAATGAAACAAAATAAAAGGAAAAGCGGAATTCAAATAACAATCACAGAACATCAGTGTTGATATTTCATCCCGTTGCTCTGAAACGTGAGTAAGCTGATGATACATGCTGAGCTGGTCGCTTTTCTAACCCTGAGAGTATTCGACAAGCACTATTTTAGTCCGAAATTGCATTTTTCAGAACTTTTGTTTTCTTTTCACTTCGTCAATTAACCTAGGCAATTTGTCGACAGTTTATTGTGTCACATCACCAACAGGCATTCCGAAACAGGCAACTGAATCGGCGTCATAGTGCGTTTTTCAAAAAGTGAAGACTTCATGACTTTTGAACCATTCATTACCACAGGATGAATACTGAAGGGGCAAATGAAACTCAAAAAATAACGTAAACGTCCTGTTTGGTTGTAACTTACACTCGAAAGAAACGTGATGGATGTCAGTGTGACATTTAAAGCCGGTGATCTTTAAACGTGCCAGAAAACATGACTCTCGGACTTTTGTACGGAAGTTCAAGGTCGAAGTGTTGAAAAGTAATTTTTATTACAAATTTTGAGCACAAGGCAGAGTTACTCAGCAGGATAGAGTAGGAGTATAGAGTTCCAATCGCGGAATCACTTTGCATAGCCTTATTTTAGTAACAAACAGTACCATATGTCATGTCGTGATGACGAAGTCTTGCCCATTATAGCCTTCATTCGAATCCATAGAGTAAAACTGAATAAATTATTTGTTCTGGGATTAGAAAAATAATTAGAAAAGCCAAGTAAAAATAGCCAAACTAAAGGTTTTAAGAATATATTAGTTTATGAAATTGTGTGACGGTACAATTTTTTGGTAACAGGAAACACGCGATTTAAATTAAAGATACAAAATAATAAAAACATGTTGCTATTTAGCTGGCTTTTAGATCTTTCAGCCCTACGGCAAGGAAAGGCAATTAGCTTGGCCTCCTGTAATGTAGCACGTAGCGGCGACATAATAACTGAAGAATATTTAGCTAGTCCATCCTCTTTTCCGCCGAAACGGATTGAATTCAAAATAGCAAGCGACTTGAAGTACAATGTAACAGTTCTAGAGCAAGACATTTGAAAAATAAGGCGTGTGGCTGTTACTAATTAAAAATAAAAAGTCAGTAAAAATAATATTCAGTTTTTGTTCACTTTCATCATGTCAGAGTGAGTTCAAAGTTTTAGTGCAATGTGTTTTAATTATTCAGCTTCCCGTTTCGCAATCGTTTTCTTCGAATTCTTGAAATTCACTATGTACCAAGATTTTAACTAGAGAATCGAGCTGATGTTCGTTGGGTTACAAACTTTTGCCTTAGTGTATTAAAAAAGATACTGAAACTTAATCTTTTTTTCTTTTTGAACACGACATGTTGACGCCACTAAAACGGCAAATAGGCAGTTTCCAGTGGTAAGAGCATTGTTTACCGGGAATGTTTACATTCAAATAGAGGCAAAGTGTGCATGGTTACGTCATGCTTAATATACAAGCTAATATAATGAGAAAGGTTTGATAAAAATAAAATGCAAAAAAAAAAAAATAATAATAACTTCAAGAGTCAAATTAGCTCTCTAAACTCGAAAGTCGTAGCACCTTTTTCAAAGATTCTGCTTTAAATATTACCTACTTTTTTTGCACAGTTTACTGTAACGTTAGTCGTTATTCCGATTATTTTTATTCAAACATGGCTTATTTTAAATGTACACTCCGGGTCCTTCGCTACATAATTTTGTCTTCGATAAATCAAGTGCTTGCCAAAGACGTCTTGGTTCTTAAAGATCATTTGTTGGTCAGCCATGTTTTTCAAACTGTTGACACCGACGACTGGCTGAATTGTGCTCAGCTCTGTTTCGATGAGCCACGCTGCATCTCTTACAACTTCAAGATAAACCACGGGCCATGTGAACTGGTCAAATGTAGAGTCGAAAGTATCTGCCACCGGGATGACTCACTAATCTATTCCAGAGGGTTTATTTTCCAACAGCTACGAACAATAAGAAAGGTAAACAGCTTGAGTGAACTATAATGGAAAAATAGTGAATTAGATACAGTCGAAAAAAAAAAACTGAATTGAATACTGGTACATAAGCGAAAGACAGATCATTGATCGAAAGACATTTTTCGTATATAGTGCGTTCTTAAGGAAGCTACGGTAGCGTTCTCAAACAACAGAAAATGTTTGCATAAAAAAAGTCGTCTCCCGTAGGAAGAAAATCTAACATTTGGTAACACCAAAATGGCCGACCTGACGTTGTGTCAAAGGGCTCTTACTTTATTATGCATATACAAATAGACAGTTTTCTTCCTAGAGATTAATAATTATATAATACATCAGTTTTAACAATACATACATACATTTTATTTGTTATCAAATTAAAATTACAATTATAACATGCCCGCGGATAGCTGAGCTNTTTGAACACGACATGTTGACGCCACTAAAACGGCAAATAGGCAGTTTCCAGTGGTAAGAGCATTGTTTACCGGGAATGTTTACATTCAAATAGAGGCAAAGTGTGCATGGTTACGTCATGTTTAATATACAAGCTAATATAATAAGAAAGGTTTGATAAAAATAAAATGCAAAAAAACATAACTTCAAGAGTCAAATTAGCTTTCTAAACTCGAAAGTCGTAGCACCTTTTTCAAAGATTCTGCTGTAGATATTACCGACTTTTTTGCACAGTTTACTGTAACGTTAGTCGTTATTCCGATTATTTTCATTCAAACATGGCTTATTTTAAATGTACACTCCGGGTCCTTCGCTACGTAATTTTGTCTTTGATAAATCACGTGTTTGCTAAAGACGACTTGGTTCTTGAAGATCATCTGTTGGCAAGCCATGTTTTTCAAACTGTTTACACCGACGACTGGCTGAACTGTGTTCAGCTCTGTTTCGATGAGCCACACTGTATTTCTTACAACTTCAAGATAAACCACGGGCCATGTGAACTGGTCGAATGTAGGGTCGAAGATATCTGCCACCGGGATGACTCACTAATCTATTCCAGAGGGTTTGTTTTCCAACAGTTACGAACAATAGGAAAGGTAAAGAGCTTGAGTGAACTATAATGGAAAATAGTGAATTAGATACATTGGAAAAAAAAACTGAATTGAATACTGGTACATAAGCGAAGACAGATCATTGATCAAAAGACATTTTTCATTTATAGTGCGTTTTTAAGGCAGCTACGGTAATGTTCTCAAACAACAGAAAATATTTGCGTAAAAAAAAGATTCATCTTCCGTAGAAAGAAAATCTAATATTTGGCAACCCTAATATGGCCGACTTGACGTTATGTCAAAGGGCTCTTTATTATGCATAAACAAATAGACAGTTTTCTTACTAGAGATTAATAATTATATAGTACACCAGTTTCGATATGTACGGGTTATTGACCAAGTGTGAGGTCAAGATGGCTGGATATTGGCCAAGTTCTTTTTTTTGCGTGTTTGTGGACCGAGACGGAGTCGAGGTCCATAAACACGCAGAAAAAGAACGAGGCTAACATTCAGCCATCTTGATCGAACCAGCTTGGTCAATAAATGATTTATTATATGGCTTTCGGGAAAATTTTTCTTACGGGACAGGGCGGGTAGTCCCGAGCGGGCAAGATAGCTCCATCTTGCCCGCTCGGGTAGCCAATTACAGCGCAGGATTTGATTCATCTTGCCCGCTCACGGAGCTGGCCATATCATAAATTAAAATCCAGCCTAACACAATAGACCGCTAGGGAATAAACCCCACAAACTCTCTGAGTAATTCGCCAGAACATGGTACTGAGGTCTATTGTTTTAGGCTGGATTTTAATATATCAAAATTGGTCTATTACGATTGACATACCGATTGCAACCGGATCGCAGCGACCGTAACGATCATATGGATTTCAATTTTATGTTTGTGACGCCATTTTGTTTGTCTTGTTATAAATGTCTACTATGGTTGGAATAGTGCACCTCGAGATCATGACCATGAGCCTATTGAGATCTGCCCTTGGTGCGGTAACACGGGCAACATTTTGCTTCAACTTGTCTCGCAACATTGTTGCATTGCAAGTTGAAACCATATGTTGCGCGTATTACAACGTTTGTGACCAACTTGTCTCGCAGCAAAATACAGTGTTGCAAGTCTGCTGAATTCTTCGCTTATAATTGGTCAGCCGTGTGTAAATAAAGTGGCTCCTTCTATCATATAATTTAACGTTTCGAAGAACTTCCACTTCGACTTCTGGCCGTCATTTTCTTAATTTTCCGTGCGAGCGAATTTCTCAGTGTGAAGCTCAGTTTCGTTGCAGATATCTAGGCGAAAAGTTGTATTTTTGTTACAGTTCTTCCAGTTCTTCCAACCAACCCTTTTGCCTTTTTTGCTGCTTGTTTTGAAGGGACAAACGAGGTGTCCCAAAGACTAGGATAGCCCTCGAGGTCTTTGTACAGGAAAAATTAATGAATTTCCGAGATTTACTCGTCTACTTCGAATTCAGGCTCGACTTCACCGTCCGCCATGTATTTTTTTTTATTATTTGCCGCGTTGCCGTGCTTTGCGACAGCCTATCCCAAGCGTTGAATTCAAGTTTGTGGCGAGACAAGTTGTAGCTTCAGTGGTAATACGAGCAGCAAAACTAAAATTTGCTGCAGAAAGTAGAACTCGAGTCCACTTTGCGCAACATGTGTCCTCAACTTGCAACACGGTATTTTGCTGCGAGACAAGCTAGTTGATCACAAACGTGGTAATAGGCGCGACAATGTGTTTCAACTCGCAATACAACAATGTTGCGAGACAAGTTGAAGAAAAATGTTGCCCGTATTACCGGACCTTTATTTAGCATTATTTTATTTCTCCTTTGTACTGATTATTGCTTTTAGTTTCGATTGTGAAGACACTGATCAAACGCGAGAGACAGTGTTTCGTTGTATATACTAAGACTCTGCTGGTGTTTGGAAATGCGATTCGCCATTTCCACATCCCCCATTATACACCTTGTTTGCCCCCCAAAATTCTGCATAAGCATTGTTTCCCATTTCTCCTGGGTATTACAGTCGTCCCAAAAGAAACTGAAGTCAATCCTTATGTAAAATTTTGGGGGGCAAACCAGGTATATTATGGGGGGTGTGGAAATGACGAATGTAAAATAAATTGTTGAAAAACTTCACTACCTTAATTCTTAATCATTCTCTCAACATGAGTAATATAAATTGGTTTTAAAGGAGGGTTTTCTCTCTTTGGTCTACAGGACGATTGTAAAATGTCACCTAAGAAGAAGTTTAGTGCCAACGGTATGAATATTTAAATTTATGTTAAAGTAATGCATTTATCTAGTGAATCTGGCTATTAAGTTAACTTTTTTACATGAATCAATCGAATCATTGATTTTTAAATCTGAATTTTAGTGTTGACTGCCTCAATAAAATACAACGCGGCACTACAAAATTGTATCGGCAGTATTGTCAAGGAAGATACAGAAACAAAAACCAAAACAACAACAACAACAACAACAAACATTCAACTATTTTGTTTTAAATTCTACTACAGCCGATCGCTCCCTGCAGTTTTCAAGGAATGAAAACCCAGGAAGAGTCAGTATCCGAGACTTGGCAAGCCTTGAAGCTTTCACTATTGGTTTCTGGATGAAGACGGACGACAAGCTAAACAAAGGGACACCTTTCAGTTACGGCACTTCTGAGCAAAGCAATGAACTGCTCTTATACAACTACCAGGAATTTCATTTGATCATCCACGGTGAAAGCAGGTAAAGCCGATATTTACAGTGAGACTTTCATGGAAATTTCTCCTGATACAATTTCTTAACAGTTAATTAGTATGGCTGCCCTCTAAAAATTCTTACAGCTCTAGATATTCTACATATAAATAACAAATCGATCACCTTATGGTTCCTTGCAACAGTTTCCAGCGAGTTACAGCACTTCTACTTTGATGCATTAATATAGGCAATCTTTTAAGTTGACAATACAATATGTAACGGTATCGAACAAATGCCCACTCATTGGTGAACCAGTTTTCGTTATGTTCTCTACATTTTATTGTTCTCTACAAGTTATTAAAGCCACGGTATTAACTGATAAAAACACCCTTAATTTTACCTTCAAGGAATTATAATTCAAAATCAAATACGTAGACAGCCATTTCTTACAATTTTTTATTATCATATTATTACTATCGAGTTGCAACAGGAGTCCATCACTAGGAACGTACGCTAGCGTATGACTACCCCGTATTCCTGTCACGGCGTTTTCACAGACTGATTTTTAGTTTGAATTTACTATGAAATTAGACCCTCGCAGGAACCTCAGTGATCAATCACAAGCACAGACTTAATTTTTAACTGACGTCATCATTTCACCCGAAGATTAAAAACAAAAAAACAACTGAAATGGCGGAGAGATGCGAGGAATCGTCTTATAGTTCTAGTCACAGTAGATTCCTGTGAAGATTTTGAAGGCTAGAAATAGACCGGTCTGTAAATATACCATGACATAGGCTTAGTGTGGGAATTGCGCACTCCTAGTGATGGACACCTGGTTGCAATCAAGCATGCAATCAACATGTCAAGGTTCGAGCCCGTTGATAAAAATTACGGAACGGATTCATAGCCACCTGAATTGAGAAAAAAAAAATACATCAAGGGATTTTGAATCCAACTTTGGCAAAAACTTGATTAAGTTTTTTCCGTCAGTAAAAAAGCACCAATGATTGTGCAGTTGTTTCATTCCATTACTGTAGCATCAGCTTAAAACGAGAGGCTTAATGTAAAAGGCTTAACCATCATCCATCGGCCGGCAAACAAATACAAATTGACCAATTGATTTCGGATTGGAGGGGGCGGGGGAGGTCAGGGAATGAAAAGTCTTAACAATTCAAGGATACAACTGATTTTAGGAGGTCCACCATATCTGCTACGGATGGGAGTTGGCATCATATCTGTGCAACGTGGGAGAGTGTCACTGGATCATGGCAGCTGCTTAAAAATGGCGTAGTTGTGGCAGCAGGTCGAGATTTGCAAAGAGGTATGACCTCTTCCTTCTCAATCCAATCATTGATGAAGATTAAAAAATTTAATTCTCTGGTCTCAAAGAAAATTTTAAAGGTGTACATAGCAATTTTCCGTACTGTATCGTGGCGAACCCGACTTGATCGAATTTCTGAGGTGGTCGCGTAAGAGAGCTACTATCCGTGCTACATTCTACATTCTTTTTTAAGTGCTTTGTCTGATATATTTTTCTTACTCTGAGGTACTCATCCAACTACAAAAGAGAGACACAGGGCAACAGTGCTCGTGCGAGTTTTTAAAGCTCTTATTGTACTCACCGTGACATGATCGGAATATCAACGTTATTTAAAAAAAAAAAAATACAATACAACGCATCTTCTGAGTTTGAAGTCAGAGATGCGGCATCTGTAAACAAAGGCTAGGATCCTTGCACTGCGCTCAGACTCCGAGGTTTACCAAACAAACCCTTTGTAAATAGAGTTAACTATGTTGATTCTCATTTTAAGCAACTAGGGAGAGGGATTCCCATGCGTTGAACCACAGCCAGTTTCAGGCTCTAGGTAGTAGGGGACGAGCGAAAACAAAAGGACGAGAGAAAAAATGAGGGAGTCCTTCCTCGTTTTTTCTCCCGCTCGTTTTCGCTCGTCCCCAGCTACCGAGAGCCTGGAACTGGCTGGGAACCACAGAGCCGTTTCTTTAGCGTGGCTTGAGTGTATTTTGAGACTTAGAGGAAATATTATGTTCTTTTCTTGACGAAGAGTTTTTTAATCATTTCCACCCTAATCACAACTTAACACTTGATTGATCGGTACCGATAACTTCCGTTTTTCTTAATCTACAAATGAAGAAATTTCAAAAACTAAAAAAAAATTGAACTCCGTTGGGAAGGTTGGTATCGATTAAAATACCAAATCTCGCGAAATCAAACTAAAATCAGTTCAAATTTTCTACGTCAGTTTAACCTGCCCGCTGACCTGCACTTATTTTGACTCCATGTTTAAATCTTATTTTTCTTAGGTCACGTAATACCTCAAGGAGGAGTACTGGTACTGGGTCAAGGGCAAGACTTAGCAGCTGGTGAATATGCGGGTCACCAGAGTTTTATTGGTGAACTAACAAGTGTCCAGTTATGGCACTTCGTATTGCCTGCTGCAGAAATAAACCGATTACTTCTTTCGTGCCAGATGGGGCGTGGAAACGTACTCGCTTGGTCAGATGTTTTAAATGGCACTTTCAATGGAGCGGTCGAGTTGGTTTCAACATCTTCATGCAATTAGATCTTTATAGTTATGCAGTATAGTATGCTGGCAGCTAGTACCTACTGTTAATTCCCAGTGAGGTGGTTTGAGAAGAGAAGCGTTTTGCTGTCAACATAATTTTGTGTTTTAATATACTTAAAGCCTGCGTGCTATGGATTTTCGTGCTTGAAAGCTTTATTTCTGCAGCGGTGAGTGACCTAGCATTTTTTTCCCTTGGCTTTAATTAGCTCCAGACCAGCTGTTCCCTGATCAGCCAAAAGAAACAACCAGATATAACATTGTTAACGCGGAAAAATTTTAAGCATTGTTCCTGGCGCTCCTATCCTATGAATGAAAGACAAGTTGTTAGGTCGTCAATCGCAAACTTGTCTCCGTATTCCAGAACCGCTATGAAGACAAAGAGATTTGCTGACTTGCTCCAAGCCTCCTTGCTTTGTCTATATTTCCACATTAAATGAATGGAATGGGTGAAAATGCATTGCAGGGAATATTTAAACTGATATGAATTTAATGTATTATTTGACAGCATTCTATGTTAGCCCAGTTAGTTCTTCTTTTAACAAAAAAGTTATGTCATAATATCATCCCATGGAAAGTCCAAAAAAATGGATGTTGGTATATTTACTCGCCCTTTTGCCGGGTTTGGCAACATTCGGAAAATGCATCCCTCATTACGTAGTTTGATTTAAGTTAAGCAGGAATTTTAAGGAAACTGGGACGAACAAAAGAGATTTGCCGCCTTATTTTCAAACGAGGCTTCAGTCACCTAACCCGGTTTGCCCTAGATAAACTAAAAACATTTTTCTTTAATCTAGTCTAGAAAAATTTGTTCGCAGCTTTACTCTTTTATACGCAGTACACTACGGGGATTCGGAAGGATATTAGAAAACCATCGTTCTATTTACCAAAATGAAGACGGTGTTCCATTTTCTCTTAGAAGATAAATGCCCGCTTAAGGTCTAGGAACACTGCTAGTGGCCGCGCGAGGGGAACCTGGGCGGTTTGAGCTGGTCTTTTTAAGACCTTACTGAAAAGGGAATTATTTTCTCAGAAATCATGGGAACGTTGGCCATAAAATTCTACCCATGATGAAGAATAGCGTGTTAGTGAGACGAAAGCAGACAAATTTCAGCCTCGCTGCAGGATTATTTTATTTTATTTCATTTTTAGCAAAATTTCAATATCAACCTGGTATTTTTTTAATTGAAAACATCTTCCCAACGACTCCGACGAATCTTCACAATCGCGATAAGGATAATAATATTCATGGCATATTATCATCATTTTCTTGAACTGAAAGTGTGAAAGCAAGTTGTCGCCTCATGTTTTATTCGAGTCAAGAGTTCTCGGACAAGAATGAAGAATACAAAAGCAAAAACCGACACAACGTAGAATGATTTTTTGAAGGAGTACTATATTTCGGCTGGCCAAACCAGCCTTCTTCAGGTACAATGGAAGATTTTACATTGGTGCGTGTTTTTATGTAGCCGATATTTACGTAATACCGGAAATACGCAAAAGTAATAGATAGCGTAAATTGAAGATAAACATACGGTAAAATAAAATAACATGATAAAAGAACATAATAAAAGAAAACAAATGNATGTAGCTTAGACATCATTGTTCATTGCCCCTTGGGGAGTAAACCAGTAAACATGTAAATTACCAATGATTGTGAAAAAGGCTGGTCGAAAGTGAAACTATACATTTGTTGTCTAATAACTCGTCCATAAAATGGGGGGCGCTTATTCGGGGGGGGGGGCTTATTTTAATTTTGGCTGATAGGAGAGGCGCTTATTTGAGGGAGGGGGAGCGCTAATTCGAGGATTTACGGTATTCTCACAACTGACTAAAACTAAAACATGTAGGTATTGGTCGGAAAAGAACAGGAACTTGCAACTGAGGAACAAATCGGTTTCAAACTGTTGTTACATAATGAATTTATGATATTAGTTTCTTCGCTAAAGGAACAAACAAAACTCGCTTTGCATGAACTGATGGATGCGATTTATCATGATGTTGAGTATAAAATGTAAAAACACAGCCCGGACGTCAATAAAAAGAACAATAGCGGCAAAACTAAACGAAATTTGCAAATTGGAAGAAAAGTAAATATTATGGTTCTAAATCATCTGCCCTGGTACTCGTTCAAAATATTATGGTATACGAGTCGTTACAGAGGTGTGTAAAGGGTGTGTAAAGTACTGTTAAGTAACTGGTCTTTTTTATGGGCGAATCTTTGTTTACAGTGTTATCCATGGCTATTCGAGTGAACCGGAGTGCTTGTCAGGTTTGCCAAACTGAAAAAAAAAAAAGAAAAAAACCTGCGGTGTTAACACTCTGTCAATACGTGAGATGGGAGTAGCCAAATTCAAAACAAAACCACTAAAATGGTTTTAGTGTGGAAAAAAGGAGTGTCCCTAGTCGAGGACTTCATTTCGGAGAAGGAAAAAAATGACAAATAGTTATATGCAGATTTATTCCATTGAAATTTTTTCAGAGAGTGAAATTTTTGACTTGGCAACCACAAGATATAAATTGTGTGTCACTTGGCATAACGAGTATTTTGCATTACAGAAGGTTTTCCTTACAGATATGAAGTTTTCATCGTGTAGCCATTCAATTTGTTATCAGGTGTACAGTAGACATTTCACATGGGCGACTTGTATGGCCCAGTTATGCCGAGGTAAGCTAATTTTACTTTTACAAAGAAATTAAAAGCGCAAAATTCGAACGCAAGGACATCTGTAAGCCTGCTATTGAGCACTTTAGTAGACATCAAATTGTAGTTAACAAGAACCCCTGTACAAGGCTTTTTCTTTCATGAAAGTCCTTTGAAGAGAGCATTAACGTTTTTAACGCCATAAAGTGACTTTGGACAAAATGAAATTTTTGATTTTGAATTTGCAAATTAAGATAATAATAATGCTATTGTTTGACGTATCTTTGTAGTATAGGCAGCGTATTTTAAGAAAATGAAGTATGCTATACAAACCGCACAAATATGGCTCAGCAATATTGGCCGCTACAAAACGCTAATGTTGCTACAATCTGAGCTAATCTGGAGCCATTCTTAATTACTATTCAGTCTGGAATACACAAACCTGACAACTGAATTGTAACTGATAAAAATTAGACACAATAGGCGTCATGATTGTTTTCATGTTATAGTCCAAATAAGCCATGCGGTCTGCCAAGGTGCAAATATCAGAAAGAATACACAGGGCCTCAACCCTACCCCTTTACTGAACGCTGGTTTTGGCTTCACCTCATTGTCTTCCTGATCTTCTGTAATTCATTTGTTTTCCATGATTGTTTTGCGTGAGGGTTCGACTTCAATGGTGTTTAAGGTCACTCAACTCTTCGGCCACTGGAGTAGATGTCGGAGGTTTGACAAGGACATTAAAAATTCCTTTCTGATGACGGCAACTACAGAGATCCGTGTAGCGTTTTTGATTGGTTGTTACTTGCGCGCGAAAATTTGAAACCGCGAGCAACAACTAATGAATGAGCTGACACTACTTTGATCCCCACAGAGCAACGTCATCAGATTGAAATTTTCAGGTCGATGCGCGGATGGCTCTCAGGCAGGAAAGAATCGAGAGATTAAATTAAGGCGCACTCAGGGTAACAAACATGAAGTCATTCGTCCTGACCTAAAACTCTGCTTTCTTTTCCTTCAGGTTACTGCTTGTGAGAATGTTTTCGTTTTGCATTCCACGGCGCAGGACAAAGCGTCGAATTCTCTCCTCTTTATTGATTCTAGCCGTTCTTCTAACGTTTTGGTTGGTGCGTCAAGAAGTCAACAAAACAAAACGGGATGTACAATCGGTAATACCAAGTAACCTATTCTATATATTATCACGTGTACGTAATATTCGTGCCGAGTTAGTTGTTTCTAATGAGGCCTCACCTTGCATTTTCAAATGTAGAATACTTATGAATTTTATTTTCACATTGGAAGAACCCTCCCAAACTGATTCTAATGTCTACATTAAAAACTTAGGCTCTGCGGTCAAACGCACTGCGCACGCGTAGTCGTAACCTAAAATGTCGTTATATGTCGCAAATTTGCTTAGTTATCCACTTTCGCTGAAACCTGTTTTTATGGCGTCTTGTATTTTATTTTTTAGTACTGTACTCTTCAAGAATTTAATTAGGCCATTAAAATCGAAGCCAGAAAATTCAAAGACGTGACGAATGATGGGAAGAAACTAGAGGAGAGAAAGCCACAGACTTTTTTTCTCCTTCCCGTCATCCACCGCGTGTTGCAATTTCATCATAGCAGACGACTGGGTACGAGTCAGAAGCACACGTATTATGTATTCACTCGCGAGAAAGCATTACGTTACTTGCATAGAAACCTGTCTTTAGGTATTCGGCTTAATTCAGAAAGAACTTCACTGAATTGTTTATCTACTGAACGGAGCCGTTGTCCCGTAAAAACTTGACACAGTCTCTAAAAGTTCATTTTCATTTTCTTTTAGTTTGAGGATGAAAGTTGGAACGAGTGCGTGACACTGATCCAGGGAAATTCTCCAAGCAAGTCGAGTCACGCACCTTCGCGTAGTGACGACGATGTCGTCCTAGAAACTTACAGTGCTAGAGAATGCTATTCCATCGCGCAAGAGCGTTTCCCTCACCCTTCCCCATCGGATGATGAACTTGGCTTTCCAATTGCCTTCACGATTTCGGTGTATAAATCTGCTCAACTCTTGGAAAAACTCTTACAGGCCATTTACATGCCTCAGAACATCTACTGTATTCACATCGATTTAAAATCTTCCGACACTTTTCGCGCGGCGGTCACCGAGATGATTAGATGTCTACCAAATGTTTTCTCGTCAACGAAAAGCGTAGACGTTATATATCCACATATAAGTATCTTGTACGCGCAGTTCAACTGCATGGAGGACTTGGTTAGGACTAGTAACAACTGGAAGTATTTGATTAATCTTGTGGGGCAAGATTATCCTCTATATTCTAATCGTGAGTTGGTCAAAGCCTTACGCGGTCTTAGTGAAAAGAATAACATCCAAAGCTTCTCTCATCCGGATATAAAACGCCGCACTAAATACTCATACGAGGTCAAGCTGCAAACTGGGGGTTCAGACCATGGAACTTACAAATATTTGAAAACCTCCAGAAAGAAAGCACCCCCCCCGTTCAACATCGAACTTTACAAAGGCGCAAATCACGTGGCCTTGACCAAGGCATTTGTTGAATATATTTTGTTTAACAAGACCGCTCGGGCGTTTATCGAGTGGCTTTCAGACACAAGAAGTCCGCCAGAAACATTTTACTCTTCTTTACAGCAGCATCCAGGAGTCCCTGGCGGTGTGGTAGGCCAGCAGCCCGTTTTCATAATGCGCGCTATCAACTGGATCGAGAAAGATAGAGGTAAGCGGCCAAACTATGAGTGCCACGGAGAATGGATACGACTAATCTGCTGGATTGACATCCGGGATTTACAGTGGGTTCTTGGTGAAACAATGCGCGGAAAGTTGTTTGTACAGAAGATACCGTTCGATTTTAATGACGATGTACTTCGATGCTTATCAATTGCGCGGCAAAAGAGGAGTTATGGAGAGTACTTCTTCTCTTGAGTTTATTACGTGGAATGGTCTTTACAACCTTAGCCTATTCCACGAGATCGGCAAGACTTGAAGCTGCAAAGCGTCGATAACGGGGAGTAGCAAAAAAAAAAAAGAAGAAGAAGAAGAAGAAGAAGAACAAAGGTCAAGTGCTTGAGACGAGGAGGGGCTTTTTTCCAAGCCCCGCCATTTTTCGTCACTCGCCATTTTAGGCGGTGTATCATGTTTTCCAGCTAACCTATAAACGCCTGGAACAGACTATTTCATTCTCACACTGTTGTCCTAAATGTTTTTCTCTGCCGAGTGCGGACAAAGGTGATCGATGATGTACTAGGGACGAGAATGAGAATCGAATCACGATTGCTAAGAGCTCGCGCGCACCTTCCTCCCCCTTCCAAAAAAAGCAATAAAAACAATAGTAATAATTATAATAACAATTCTAATTGTAATAACAACAATAAAGAAAAACAGAGGGGCAAATGCTGTTGTGGTTATAAAACTGGTTTTAGATGTTTGCTTCTTTGTTCGGAGGTTTGGTTTTATAATAGAGGTGTCTTGATTGTTGATTTTTTAAAGGCTCTTAAAATAGGTGGTATTTATTTTTGCAGAAACTATATAAAATGTAACTCTGATCACTGAGCTTATTTCACTTTTCTTATGTCTGATTGTATCCACACTCAAACACGCGAACAGTTCACGTTTTGGTCAAATTCTCTAAGTTCAGATTCACTCGAAGGATATTTGATTCCCACTGGCAAGTCAGAAAACAGCGCTTGCACATGTTCAGGTTCTCGCCTTAAACTTCGTCATGTTACCCGGCGACAATCATGGGATAAACGCGAGCTAAGTCAAATTTGGCGGTCCTTCCTCGACCCAGGACCCAACCATGCACGACTTAACCATGCTTAAAAAAAAACAAAACTAGTTGGTAAAACTACTTTCCATCCAGATTAGAACAAAACCCACCCTCTAAAACATCGATTTGCCGAAGAGTGAACGACCTGTTCTCAATAAAGCTATTTTCATCGAGTACTACACGACAGGCAACGAGTGCCTTACACTGAGTACCCTTAGTAACAAGTGCATCCACGCCATCAACAAAACTATCCACGTAACTCTGGTCACGTGACGCCACGTGAGGGGTTCTTTGAAGCAACGTTTTGGCGGGAAAATCTGAAAAGAGGTGGGAAATCGCGCTGTTGAACGCTTCCACTTCTACGGACACGTGAGAGTCACTGAGGGTTATAGTCAATGGCTTGTAGTAATGGCCTATACTGTATTTGTACTGGGGATTTGCCACAACACAGTACAAACACTGACCGTAAACTTCGTTTTGATCTTGTTCGAGAACCCGCGAGCACGAACCGCAACCAATGTACACCAGTTTCTCAAGCTTCTCTTTCAGTCGATCCCTTGTGGATCCGGTTTGGTCCAAAACGATAACCTCATCTTGACAATGGAATTGTGCCGAAGAAATCCTCGCTTCGACTTCAGCCAAGCCCGAGTATTTCGACTCCAGCAAATCGCGCAAGTTTGCGAATTTTCTAGCTTGCTCGGAGCCTCCGTCAAATCGTGACATGATAGAAAGTGCATTGTTGTCTTCTGGGGATAGTTTTGACTTAGTTGATCTAGGGGTCGAGTGAAGCGTCACACATCCATTATCACTGCTGTATTTGGCCGTGAGGAACTGGAATTCCCACACCTGCCCCAGTCCTTCTTGAAGCTGGTTCATCCACACGGCCTGTCTCCCCCAGAGGACGAGTTCTATTGTATCACATGGTCGCTCTGCTAAAACTGTAAGACAAAAGGATACAACTTGTGAGATTAATACTTTCATTGTCCGTAATACGGTTAACTCTTGTCCCACTACCCTACTAACATATATGGACGTCGTCAAAACTGACTATGACCATACTTGAATTCACACGAAGTTTATAAGGTTAATTTACATGCTACCAGTCCAAATTTCCAGGGAGACGTCGTGGGAAAGAGTTCTTTCAAGATGTGTTATAGCAACATACAGTAACACTCACCTGCTGTAATTTTGGTCAGTTGTTGACCACCAAAACGATAAGTACTCAATGACGGCGAGGTTCTGTGAACACTAATAAGCCTACCCCTGAAGTGAACCAAGGTGTTGTCACGTAGTTGCAGAATCTGAGTAAATTCAACATTTCTCTTTGTTAGAGAGGCAGCAAGGAGATAGGGATGTTCTGTTCTAGTCCATTTGACGAGGGCATCAAGTCTTCCTTGCGAAACTAACTTTAAGCAATTGTTTGAAAGCAGGCTTTTGGGTTGATGAAGATTGTAGAACCCCGAGCTGATTGTTGTCTGCCCAACATATTCCTCACGCCATTTCCCAACCTTGATCGATGTCGCAACAGCAAAATCACCTGCTGATATTTTATCAGTCCATGTTGAAGCTTCTCGCCACAATGTTAGTTTAAAACAAGACTTTGACTCATCAGCGACAACCAGCGAAGACAGAGCTACAAAGCTTCCAGCATTCACACCCGACTTAACCTGAACTTCACGAGTGTCATTAACTTGAATAACAAAGAAGAGTAGATTTACCAAGGCGTTTTCTTGGGTGCATTCTTTGAGGACAGTAAGCTTGTCACAAACTCTTGGTACTGCAAAATCACGCAAAGAAATTCCAGGGTCACGAGCATTGTGATCGACAATTGTCAGAGAGACATCGGCATCCCTTCGGGAGGTCATCGGTTTAGAGATTTTTCTTCTACCTGTGCTTTTGTTAATTGGGCTGCAGATGTCACTAAATGAAGAAAAATTTTTGTCTTGAGCGTAAACGTCCTCCATTGTCAAATGATGTGTATCAGAATTACAAGAAAAATCTTGACTCTCGCCAGTCTTTCTTTTAACACCTCTATGATAGTCATCACTAGAAATGCTAGAGCTTCGAGCACTGTTCTCAACAAGAAGTCTTTGACTTGCAGACCTTATATCTTCAAATTCTTTCTGTAAATCTGAAAGGTTGTCAGCTGAGTGGCATTCCTTATCAAATCCAAATGACACCTCAAAAGGCAGTGAAGAGCTTTCACTGTTCCTAAATTCGCTTTCCAGGTAGAAACAAACCGACTCTTGAATTGCAAGTGGGTCATATTCAAGTTTGATGTCATTTTCATTGGTAAGTTCAACATCTCTGCTACCATTGTAACACTGCTGATCACAAACAACAAAGGAGTTTCCACTAAGCTGTAGGGTGGATTTCCTCCAGTGGTTGCCAGCATTCAGTTGACCTTCTGCACGATGTAAAAAATAAAAATAATCAATGACTTTACAATAAAGGGCATAAAAGAAATCGTTAAAAGAAAAGAAGACTGTTAATTTCACTGAGAAACGATCAAGACACAAACATGTATCCAGATCTGAGTTTTCACCCCCCCCCNGGGGGGGGGGGGGGGGGGGGGAGGGTCTTGGCCCCCACCGCTGAAATGGAATGGAACTAGCAATCGAAACTATGAACTTCCTGAGGCTCTGTATATTATTAAAAGGAAGGTATCCCTTACCTCCATAATTATTTCCTTACTTGTTCCTTATCCCTAAAACTCCAAGATAATCTATTCCTTACCACCGCTACATGGTCGTTGGTGCGTTCATTTTCCACTCATTAACACCATGGAGGAAACTACATGTAACTTACCTTTATTTTTAACGCTTGTCGTTTTTTGTATGCAATCTACACATACAATCGGGGCGGTGAAAATGAGAACTTTCGAGGGTTTTGACGAGTCCTGTTCCGCAAGTCGTTCTGCTAGCTGTTCCGCCATGTTGGATTACGGGCAGCAGTTTAAATTTAAAGCTTATGCGCAGCTGACAACTTGAACTTCTTTTTACAAAGAGCACCGCTGACAACTAGCGCGAAATCGAACAGTTTATCAGGTTGTACAGAACAGGCAAATTTGGGGAAATTGCTGTATCATTTATCATCGACAATGAGCACAAAAAAGGGAAACAACTCGAAAAAAGGTCAAAGACATCAAAACACGAAAGCTTACAAGAATGATCTTCATGACACGAGCAAGAAAACGAAGCAAATCAATAGTTTGGTGGTTGGTGGCGTTTGTACACGATGCCGGGAGATCATAGAGTGGAGAAAGAAATTCAACAAGTACAAGCCTCTTACTGCTCCCAAAAAGTGGTATATATCTTTTCCTGTGCAGTTATGAATTGTGGCTATCAGGATATTAAAACGTTATGAAAATCACCAAATGATTTTCCTCACTCTCCCCTCTCCCCTTCCCTACCCAGACACCCATCTAGGAAGTCCACCTGGCCTGGGTTGTTTGAAAGGTAGATAACGCTATCTGCCGGATAAATCACTATCCAGTAAATAGTGCAGTTTGTTTTTGTCATCACTTATCCACTGGATGTGGATAGCGTTATCCATCTTTTGAACAACTGGGGCCTGATTGATGGGTAACCCGAAAACACTGACCCCTGGTCCGCGGACCCCCACCACAGACTGGGTCTGCAGACTACCTATGGACCAGTCGACGGACTACTCCTATGGACCCTCTCTACGGACCACCCCCCAAAATAGAATAAAAATAAGAAACAAATATTTCACTTACTGGTTGTCTAATAGATTACTCGTGTCGGCAAAATTTTGAACGTTAGTGTGCAAATGTATCATTCTTGGGTTCAGGCTTGGGCACAAGTTATATCATTACACATTGCCATTTCCTTTGCTGTGGCCATACAGTATATGAAAGACCGGGAAGCCTCCAGGAAGCCTCTGGGAAGCCTCAAAATTTGTGCTCTTTCCCCTTTGCCAGTTTTTTCAGCCCATTCTCAGGTGGATTCGTGAACTCATTCCAGGCTTCTTATTTTTAATTTGCTCAGTGGAATTACAGATACGAACAAGCATAAACAACCTAACAACATACCTCCCATAACCCGATTGAGCCACGAATGAAAGTTAATAACTTTCCTTCCTTTTGTCATCGGCATCTCCTTACCCTGAAAACAGCTTTAAGGCATTTTTTNCGTGTTAATTACATTTTCACAGTGTAACACTCGAAATTTCGCCGATATGAGTAATCTATTAGACAACACATTAGTGAAGTATTTCTTATTTCAACACTATTTTTGGGGCTTCCGTAGAGGGGGTCAGTAGGGGTAGTCCATGGACCCGGTCCATAGTGGGGGTCCGCAGACCGGGGGTCAGTGTTTTCATGTTATCCCTGATCGATAGGTGCTTGATCAAAACAGGCTTGATTGACTATATCATTTTGAAAATATGTTTTCAGTGTGAGATGCGAGCAGAAGGTCATAAAACATGCTTATCACACTGTGTGCAGTAGATGTGCGCAGGAAGCCAAGGTGTGTGAAAAATGCGGACAGGCTCAAGATATAGTGGCAAAGTAAGAAACCATACAGTGTCACTGTAATGATTCAATTTAGAACACCCCTTTTATAACTGTCTGTAGTATATTTGGACAGTGGTTGTACATGTAAAAGTATACATTCAGGGTAGTACTAGTGCGGGACGATAGTGTTGAAACCTGTACTATGTGTACAGTTGTCTTTCGCCTTCGTGGCTGCCTTTTGTGGCTTACATGTACTTTTGTGGTTCAACACTACACTGTCGGCCGACATACAACCAATGCATCATCGTGCTTTGTTAACCATTTTCAAACTTGTTTGGTCGAGGTGGCTGGATGTTGATTTACTGCTTATTGGTTCATAAACACACACAAAAAAGTTGTGGGCAATATGCAGCCATCTTGACCTCCTGTTGGTCAATAACCCATAAACTGCCACTTTCAAGCCCTGGGCTTATACAACATCATAAGAGCTTTTAGATGAGCTTATAAGTGGAGGGGCTTATATCCAAGGAGGCTTATATCCAAGATTATAACCAAAATAAATTAAAAAACTGTTTTGAAATGAGCCATAGCTCCACATGATTGAAATAGGTTTTTCATTTACTGGTAATTAAGCTTTTAAGACATCATAATAAAACGAACTCAAAACAAGGAAAGCTAGAGGGGTGGCTTATATCTTGGGGGGACTTATAAGCAGATGCATTTTTTGGTTTACAGGTGGCTTGGCCTATTATCAGGGGGAGGGGGGGGCTTAGCAGGGGGCTTATAAGCAGCAGTGTATGGTATATCACAAAAACTGCCCAGTGTACGGGGTGTACCTAGTTCAGTTTAGTTTTGAGTTAATGATGCTGTTGATTTTTATTTTTGAGTTCAAAATGCTGCAGATTTTAACATCAAATTCAGTTCATGGCAAATTTCAAGGAGAACTTTTTTTGCTTTTGGTTTTACTTGTTGTGTAAAAATGACATACCAGAGGTACAAGAACAGCAAAGGCTTGACTCTTTTTTCACTGCCAACTGCGAGATTAATTCCTGTCATAAATACATCAAAACTGATAGAAAAGAGGTTCGCATCATCACTAACATACTGTTCGACATAGTCCTGTAAAAAATGTTGAGGTCTCCCCCCCTCCCCCCGCCCCCGTGCCCAAAAGTTAAGGACTATAATGTTTATAGAAGTCTGAATTTTCTGTTTTCACTGAGACCATCCTGCTATATGCATGTGTGTAAGAATACATCTGAACAACTGCTTTATTGTGTGTTTAAGATCTGAACCAACTCCAGCAGAGAGAGCCTCAGAAGACAGTATGTTACAGTAAGAGATAAAAGCTATGACCGAAAGACAAAGAAGTAAGCTGACAGTGCATGGTGTTATTATTGTAATTTCTGTGTGGCCCAAGTCTTAGATTCAATACAAATCTTAGATTAGGAACAAAGATTGAGACATAAAGTTGATTTCAATGATCATTTTTATGAATTTTATTATAAATAATTTTCGACGTTGATTTTTAATGTAAACCATACAAAATGTCATAATAATTTTAATATAATTATGTCAGATAATTTTACCTCAAAGTAATAATTCTTCTAGAGTATGGCAATGCATAGGCTACTCTTTTTAGAGTCACACAATAAATTATTATTGCTATCTCAATTCAAGTGTTAATAAAAATTATTATTGTTTATTTACATTTCTTACAGGAACCTTCTTTAGACACCTTGAAAAGGGAGGCAAAAATGAAGAAACAACAGAAAGTGCCAGCTTGCAAGAATCTGCACTTGCTAGTAACAGCACTACGTCTGATTTGTTTATCAGTGATAATGACAATGAACTCTCAGAACCTGATGAGCAAAGAGCTGATGGGCTGGGCTCTTGACAGTGCAGAAACTCTAATAAGTGCATGAAGATGTTCTTAATTTTTTAAGCTGCCCACAATTCATACAACTGTCACATCTTTGACTGACTACACACAATGTAGATCAGAACATCCTTCATATATAAACATGTAACTGTACCATCACAAAAACATTCAAGCAGTGCTCAAGGCCTGCATAATCTTCTCAATATACCAGTGCAGGCTGGCTAACTATTTTTTTCAAAATCAATAATAATCTGGCTCCCTCTGAGCATTGCTTTCCCCATAATCCTACATTACATTTGCGGTTCAATTGAATTTTTGTCATCCCTAAATCTATTACAAATTTCTTGGTCTGGCTTCAAGGCTCATTAAGAGTTTCAAAACTTTCCATACAAAATTTGGCACACCTTATGAACCTAGCCTGGGTTGTAGCTGGATGTGTCGCAAAATCTCCTATACCAGCGGTTTAGACTGTCTATGACACTGGCTATTTGAAGCCTGTGGCTGGGTTTAACAGATATAGGTCTGAATGGAAGATGGTGGAACAGTCTCATTGATCACACCATCTTCAGAATGAATTTGCAGAGCAATTTCTTGGTCTTCTGTGTTGAGGACAATAACAACCATCAGGGAATCAGGAGTAATGAATCCAATGAATTGAAGTGCAGACTCTTCACTTGCTTTCACTTCTATTCTCTGTGAGCCTGGAGGCACAAACTTGCTGAAGTGACCAAGATGATAAAACATTGGCTGCAAATAGAACAAGACATTTAATATGGTTTTGTTGTGTCATGTTTTTTTTGTGTGTGTTTGTGTGTGTGTGTATGTGTGGATTTGAGTAATTGATCTCAATGTATGTTTGGTGTGTTGGTATTCTTGTCCCAAGTGGCCAATTTTAGACAAACAAAAAACAAAAAACATGCACTATGGGCACCATTCCATATTTTTTGTATCGTAGTTTCCAGTTGTGATATTATGATCTCAAGAAATGTTGAAGGGTTGCCACACGTCAGGAAAAAGTAGAGGTCAAAAAAAACTTAAAGAATTTTTTAGTTGTTTTGGGGAAACAAAAACTAAGGAATTTTCATTTGAGTTTACTTTAGATTTTGATAATGAGAGTTGTGAAAAAACGAAAATATTACAGCTAACTATTTTCTGTATTGACACCTTAAAATTTAAAGGGTAAGTCGAATTTGTTCCCCATCATTAGCCTTATTATGGTCAGAAAAAATTATTTCCTGGTCAATGAAATGTCAGGGACTTTTTCCTTAATTAACGGGTAACAACAATAAACTACACTTTAGTCCAGAAGTGAAGTTTCCACCTCAAAAAGTACAAATATCACAGCACTCTCTTCATCTTGGAAATTTATTTTTAGGACATGGGCAGTGTACCTGCTTGTAAAATACTCCATTCTCTGCATCAACAATGATTGGTGAATCAACAAAGTTCTTCACCCAGTTAGGTCCTCCTTCCATGTTAAGAGCTAGGTTCCAGTCCACCCACCCTACAGACCAGTTGGATAGGTCCTAAAAGACGATTCAGGTTTTAAAAGTAAAACATTGTTAGTTAACTTCAAACAGTTCTAGGTCACAACTCCCAATTGCTTTTAAGACTTCTAGTTTATTGCAAAACGTAATATGTGAGACTGTATGAATGTTTTATTTTCTTTGGTTAATATCCACTGCAAATCGGCCATTTAAACCCCCAAATGACCACTTTTATGTCGGCATTCGAGGCAATTATCTGTAAAATCTTCATCCTGGTCCATAGGATCGTTGCGAACTTCAAATTCATCACACAGTATGGTTGATACCTGATTACGTGACGCAGCTTTATTTCTCCGGTTAGGCCTACAGTCCACTTAAATACGTCACGAAAACGGAGCTTTTCGAAAACGCTCTTCAAACCGGAGGACTTTGAAAACGCCGTCTTTGCGTTTTAGTGTGGGCAGAAATCATTTTGAAACGAAGCTCTTCGAAAACGATGAGGTTACGATAGTCATGATATTGCCGTCCCCGAGTTTTACTCAAACACAAATGCAAAACGATTGGTAATTGATGCGTTTTCAAATTTCTCCGGTGTAGTGTGGACGGAAAACATTTGACGCGTTTTCAGAGTGAAACCTCCGTTTTCAAATTCCTCCACCGGCGTAGTGTGGACGCGGCCTAAATCATCCCCGCATGATTATTTAAAATATCAACGACAAACAAAATGGATGTAGATTCATGGTGCTTTCCATTACGCCAAAAATTTAGGAAATTTCAGTTGGAAGTCAAATGGAAAGGTTCGATCCTGCCGGAGTATTCGAAACCACCTCTGGCGGTGATTGGTCGGACCGAAGTTCCAAACCGGTAAGATGCAGTAGATTAATCAGTAGATTTCACGTATGTGGGAGATTGAAAGGGATAGAAAACTGTAACAACCATTCCTCTNGGTAATCAAAACACTGATATCATAACAGGGGCGTAGGTAGGGGGGCTCCTGGGGTGCCCGTGACCCCCCCGGCTTTTGTGAGCTTTTTGGAGCGAACAACCTACAACAGGTGGCGAAAACACAATCTGGTGAGTACCTTCACTTGACACAGTGTGACCCCCGCCCCCCCTTGAAAAATCCTGGCTACGCCCCTGCTTCTGGTCTGACCGGGCAGAAATGGAAAGACCCTAACTGAATCATTTTCAAGTTGCTTTGTGAACATACACGCTATGTTCGTTTTATTAATCTTGTTTATAACTATTGTCAAAACCACACATCAGACATGATTTTCTGTGAAAGCAAATAATATGATTAAGATGGTATAGCTTGGCTTGCGCCCCTGATAGTTTCTACGGTACGGGGAGGTAATTTTCTTCTGTAAAGTCTGCATAAGATATCCTTAACAGCCATGCGAATTCTCTTGAGTCGCCAAGCATAAAGCATGGGATTCAAAGCAGAATTCATGTATACCAATGTCCAAGAAGTTTCAAATGCGATTTTAACAGAAATATTGGTTCTGAACAGTGGATAAACGATAGCTAGCGAGGTGTATGGAAGGTAACACAAAAGAAAAATAAGATACACGTAGAACATAGCCAGTGACGAGGTTCTGAATCGCAAGATGTTTACAAGTCCTCTGTTTGGTATTCGGCCCGATTGTAGTCCGTTGATTTGTCTCTTGTGGCGTTGCACGACACGATAAATCTTCAAGTACAACACTGCGTTTACTACAAAGCAAGCGATAGCGGTGAATGATCCCAAAAACTCATCGTATGCTTGAAAGAACAAAGTCACAGAGCATATGGCGACTGACCCCACGCTAAGGAGACCAAGGAAGCAACACATGCGTCGCTCTGTAATAAACTCGTTGTATCGCAAATGAAGACGCAGGGCAAGGTATCTGTCTGCGCTGAGGACAGTGACTGTCAACAGCGAAAACATACACAAGATGCCAGATAAAAACACCGCCACTAAAAAGAGAATATCATTCCTCCAGGTTTCGTTGATGAAGCCAGACTGGTTGAGTCTCCACGCTATGTACATCGGCTGAACGATTAGTCCAACACAAAGATCGGACAATGCTAGGCTGATCAAAACAATATTGGATGGTGAAATGAGAGACGGGTTCTTAACAAAGGAGACTAGAATCAGCGAATTTCCAAATACTGCAAGCAGCGAAAGCGGAATGTTCATCGCGGCATTGATGACATAAGGGATTGAATCGCCTGCCATTTTCGATAGTCAAAATCAGGCGATGGGCTTTCCTTTCTTCAGGTAATTTAACTTAATCATAAAAAGGTGTCGCAAAGAAATCGATATCTCCTGAACTAACATGCTACCAATACGTTGGTGAAATTTAATCATTTTCACTATTTACTCACATAGGTATGTGTTTTCTGATCCTCGATAACTTAGAAGAAAAACTAATTAGGCAAAAGCAATCTTCTGCCAACATCGCAAGCAAAAAGAATTATAGTCTTGAAACATGCCATCATAAGCAGTTCATTTAGATGACTGACAAATATGTGGACATACGTGAAATAAGTGGATATATACAGCATGCTGTAATTCACCTGTTTTTACCGAAACGACGTTCGATGTTTAACTGAGAAATCTCAAACTAAAAAAGAAATGTATTGTCAAAAGATTTAGAGTTACTCACTGACAGTGACCTCTCGAGGAAAAGCCAGTAGCACAATTAAGTCGCGACCATTTATTTAGAAAATGAAATTTGTTGACATAAAAACTGGCCAATTTATCTTAACATCAGTTAAGTGAAGGCCGGTATCATTAGCAGTTTCTTTCAATTGTTTTTCTCCGCAGCTGTATTTGCGCGTCGTGATTGGTCAATTCAGCGGGCCGGATAATTCTACTGAGAGATCCATAAAAAAAAATTGAAGGTGTTTTTGTCGCCAAAATGTCTTGTGATTTTTTCGCCAAATTTTCTTAATTTTTTACGTTGAATAAACGTGAAATGCACTTCTTTCTGTGAGAGTTTTGACCACATGCATTTAATCGTGTTTGTTTTGTTTGTTTTTTTGTTTTTTGAGCCATACAAAATGTCAATGTATAAGGTAAGGATTCCCAGGGAAGCCAATAAGGCTTATGCAAACCCGGCTAAGACTTAACAAAAGAATATAAATGCTGTCATCAGCACACAAAATGATCGTAATTTACATAACATAATAGGATAAAAAGTAGTTAAGCAAAGCTAAACGCGCAAACGCGCAAAAACAAAGGAAGAAAAAAAAGCAGAAAAAAAAAAAAAAAACAGCTCACACAAGCACACTAAGAGAAGTAAAATATACTTATACTAAGCAACGATTTCCAATTAACTCGTTTTGCCTTTGACGACTACGTCAGTCATTTGAACCCACTCCTCGTAATTTGAAATGGTCTCCTAAACCTTTGAGACTGACAGTAGAGATATAACAAATGTACTACTAACCTCAAATTTTTCGTCCCTACTGTAAGTTACGGATCCTCGTTTTTTCCTCAGGTTTATGATTCGACATGATAATAACAGGTAATCCCATTCCAGTCCAATTTTGAAATAATAAAAAGGGGAAAAAACGACGGTCTGTAACTAATACTTAAAGAAGGGACCGAGAGGACAAGGTTAGTGAGAGGTATACATGCAGCGTCCACACTATGCCGGAGAAATCTGAAAAAACAGCTAAAATTATTTCTACGGTTAGGCCTACCGTCAACACTTATCCGTCACGAAAACGGAGCTTTTCGAAAACGCTCTTCAAACCGGAAGAATTTGAAAACGCCGGCTTTTCGTTTTCATGTGGACGGGAAACATGTTGAAAACAGAGCATTTCGAAAACGATGACGTCACTATAATCATGTGATTTCCCTGCCCGAGTTTTCCTCAAACACAAATCTAAGATGGCCGGTGATTGTTGCGTTTTTTAATTTCTCCGGCGTAGTGTGTACGTAAAACATTTGATGCGTTTTCAGAGTTAAAGCTCCATTTTCAAATTCCTCCGGCGTAGTGTGGAAGAGGCCAAAAATATTCAATAACTCTCGTGGCGATTCCCTCTCTCACCACGTCAATCATACTAGACCACCAAAACGGTCGCAGCCTCTAAGAACGAGATTGCTCCCCAACTTACATTGACTGACTTAGATTTATTATCTATTTTGGAGTGACTTGAAACTTTGGCAATTTTTGCCGCAAGAAAAAACATTTATTACAGTAACTGTATATCAAATACCTCAATGATGCTATGGCTATACTGATTTCCTCTTGACCAGTCCCCTAGACTGACTCTTGGTGGTTTGGAGGTCTGGGGATCAGCACATGCTTCAGTGGCAAGAATGAACTGATCAGGAAATCTGTACAATAAAGAAACATAAAACACTAAATATCATATGGTATAAATGTGAACTAAATAACTGAATAAAGTCAGGTCAGATATGGAAAGAACTTGGCTACAAGGGCCAAGTAGCCAAGAGCTGAACATTCTATTATGGGCAATAGCCCACTTTCCCATTTTTCAATCCTAGCGAGCTTTGTATGATTATTTGTTCATTCTGCTCAGTGTATATGGACATCCAAAGTAAGTCCACATGCAATAATGTAATTTTAATTAGTACTTCAATTCTCTGACTACCAAACTAGACTTAGCCTGTAGCCTCATTATTTCGCACTCTCAGGAGAATAAAAAAATAGTTCGAAATAGCAGGTGTTCGAAATAGCAGGAGTTTAAAATTACAGCTGATAGTAAATAACTAAAAAACGAATCCAAGGAAAATGGTTTTGAGTTTGAAGTAATGGGGAATTTGAAATAACTGAGTTCGAATTACCCGGGTCCAACTGTAGTTCAATAATTATTGTTGAACTAAATTTTCTCAGAACATCATAAAAAAAAGTGTCAAGGTAAATGTTCTAAATTGTACATGCAAATATCAATTGAGTTGCTACATGTAAAGGACAAGACGAACCTGTCCAGCTTTACAGCAGTCTGCTTCTGGGTTCAGTATGTGGATGCAATAAAATTGTATGAATTGTAATGCGCTAACAAGGTTCAAGAGGGGTTCTTAGAATACTGACTTAACATAATTATATGATTGAAAAGCATGAAATCACCTGTTGTGAGCATCAGTGAGAACTTTAGCAGGCATGTACTTGTCCTCATACCAGTGGACGCCAATTCCAGCAACATACTTAGCTGCCCCTGGATCACTGAGAATGGTGTCTACCCAGGATGGCAAAAAAGGTCGCGAATCATCAAGCATAATGATTTTCACATCAGCATGACCTTGCAGTGATAACATTGGACCCAAGTCCTCTTTGATGAAGTCTCTTTCCATTTCAGCTGTGTATCCCATGCACTGGAAACTAAAACTGTCACATACACAAAAGAAAATAAGAAAAAAGGACAGACTTTTTTTAAAAAAGGGCAATATTTTAAACAAATAATATGGCTGTTTCTGTATAAGTGCATGAGAAACTTATTTTGTGAGTTTTCCTAAAGTAACAATAAAATGTGCAGAAGATAGGTTACACAATTTAAGGGATATTGCACTTAGCTAACTACATTTATTAATTTAAAAGAAACATTCTTTTCAAAACTATTGTAAGAGTATTGTCTGTGTTCAAATCCAGTGGACCATCAGGCCTTATCTCTGGTTTACATAGCATGAAGCAACTAGAGTAGTTCTACCCCCCTGGGTAGGATGTTAGTCCACTGCAGTGTTACCTGGAACATTAGCATTAGCTTTGCCAGTACCCACTGATTCCCACTGGTCGAGGAAGGCACTGTAACAGGAAAGTCTAGCAGCTGAAATATTTGCAAATAGTATTCTCGATATTTCTATAATGAAATGAATTTCTAGTTTTGCTCCAGAACTGTTTTCAATATGAATTAATCTCACAATCTAACAATTAGCTTTTAAAATTATGTATATAATTACCCCAATTACTCCTTTATTCATTCTCTCATAATCTGCCATAGAGGAAATTAATTGATTTATAAAATTTAAAGCTGCAGAATCTTACAATGGAATAAATCCATCTGAAGGTTCATTTTGCACTGTAACTGCCCAGATCTTTACTCCTTTGTCGTTGTAGGCCTCAATGAACTTAGCAAAGTATAAAGCCCAGGCTTTGTGGTATTTATCACCTGCATTGCCTTTCAATTGACCAAACCCAGTCATCTTGTCATTTGTTTTCATCCATGCAGGGGCGGACCATGGACTTCCAAAAAATGTGATATTTCTCTTACTTGTCTTCATTGCCATTAATATCAGTGGGATTTTAAAATTCAAGTCTTCCTCTGCAAGGCTAAAGTTGGCCATCTCTAGGTCACCGACATTGTCATTGTAGGAGTATGGTCTTGTGGAAAAATCACAACTGGCCATGGGGATGCGACCAATAGCGTATTCTATACCTTCCACTGAGTAATATGAAGAAAGGAGTTTCTGCTTCAAGGTTGTGCTGATATTTTGAATATTAATAGTGGCAGCATCTGAGGAACCAAAAAAGGGAGCAAACAAATTGTTATTGACTACATGCAAATGTACAGTTCCAAAAAATAACTATATACCTCCCCATGGAAGAGAGTTTTTATAAAACCCCCACCCCTCTGGAAATTCCAATTAAGCTTCATACATTTAAATTTTTTGGTCTTACAGAACCTCCCACCCCCATGAAATTCCAATACCCTCTGTGAGAGGAGTATGGGTATTTTCTGGAACTGTTCAATGGTAGCACACTATTAGAAATTACATTCTATTCTTTTTCCTCGTGCCGATTCTACAGTTCTTCCCAACTGGCCTAACTGAACCACTTGGAATCGTTGATCTTCATGATCAGTAACTCAAAATTTTTAGGTTCACGTATGAGTTCCACACACCTGTGAATGCGCCTCCAAAGCCAAGTATCTTTTGAAATGTAACGCTTGAATTCACGATCAACTGTACCCCAGTTTGTTTTGATTTCAAATTAAAACTATTATTTAACCTTGCTGTCGTCAAACGGAAACGATCTCCAGCTTTCCTGCTCGTGTAAACTGCATATTCTTTCGTCGAGAGAGGACTTCCTTCGCTGAACGAGTCGCAGTCCTTTTCCGAGCAGACACAAACAGTCCCTCCGTGTCCAAAATCTTTGCTGATACATGTAGAATACTTCGGAGGAGAGAAAGCGCTCGTAGAAGCAATAAGGAGTCCCAAAAATGAGCAAAAAGTTGAAAACAACGACATTTTGGATCGCAAATGATTGAGAAACATAAACACTTCTCACATTTTGCGACAGGCGTTCCTTTCGAAGTCGGTTGTAGCCCAGTTTCCCACGAGACGATGTTACAGTTTGTCACGCAAGTATCAACAATCGCGTTTGTTGTTTGAAATTCTTTCAAACTGAATTTTCAAGTTTCCTTGAGACCTGGTTAAGGTTACTTATTATAAATTTGAAATTTTTTTTCCAAGTGAAAAAAATATATGCTTTTTGGTCAGGTGGTCGGTAGTTGTGTGAGGTGTCATCCATCGTTACGTTACGTGACGGATCCACCTGCAGTGAATGCTGGGACCTCTTTTCGGCGCGAAATTTCGACATCAACTCTGGCATCCTTGGTGTTGACACAATCTACTTGTCATGCCTTTTAATTTTTACCGTTTTAACGTTTTTAGAAGGTCTAAGTGTGTCTTATTTTAGCACCTGCAGCAGTTTTATGGATAGGGAGCTATATGACTCGATCAAAGCGGAAAATTATAGGTAAACTAGATCGCTTCTGTCATATTTAGTTGAGGTTGACAACTGCAGACGTGCGTTTCTTTAAAAAAAATATAACATTGGATTCTTAAATCCGGAAGAATCCGAAAACGGATTTTGTGTTTCTTTACTAGACAGATAAGTCCAAGATCTCTCGGATCATGGTGCATCAAAGGAACCGAAGAATCCTTGCCTAGAGTAGATTGTTCGGTTCCTTTGACGCACCATGATTTGAGAGATCTTGGATTTTAAATCTGTTTAGTGAAGAAACGCAAAATCCGTTGTCAGATTTAAGAATCCAATCTTGTATTTTCTTAAAGAAACGCACACCAGTTAATCCTGTGTTGTTTTTTAGTGTTGCCAAAGATCTGTGTTTGAAAGGTGCCAAAGCAGACAGGTTAATCGACGGCATCACAGCTCTTCACCTTTTATCTGGACATGAAAGCCAAGAAGCTTCCAACATCTTAGAAGTGTGTGTAAAGCAAGCTGAATGTAATCCGAATGTCAAATCCATTGAAGGGTTGACCCCTGTCCATGTGGCTGCCCTGTGGGGTAGATATCGTAATTTAGAGATTTTGACAGCCTCTGGCGGAAACATCAGTGAAACTGATGACGAGGGAAATAATGCCCTGGATTTTACTGAGGATACACTGTGTATCAAACTACTGCTTGAACTTGAGAGTTCAGGAGAGAGTCACATCTCTGCAAATGCCCTTCAAGTGCACAATGCAGGAATAAATGAACACCCTGTTTGTTTAAAGACAAGAACTGATGACGATTCTGAGTTTTCAGAATCCTTTCACACAGCAATCGATGAAAGTATCCTTGATCGTACAGTTGTGACATTTCCAAAGCTGCATCCATGGAATGCTAGTCACTCTTCAATGTGTGGCCTTGATGATACTGTTGTTGATTCCTTTACCAACCTCAGCATTTCTAGTTACAGGTATGATGTCTAAAAATTGCTTTACTGAGCCTACTAGCACTGTAAAAATGTGTCTATCTACAGGGCTGTTGTTAAGCCTCTTTATGCTTCAAAGAAACTGGCTACATTATTTCAAGAAAGGGGAATCACCTGGATGTCATCTTTGAAAGTCTTTTTCACAGTTTCGGTTGCCAGCTCATCTTCAATGCATTTGCCGGTCATACATGTTATAACTGGGAGGCAAAGGAGCCTAGTGTTAGTGCACTGGCTTCTGGATTGAAAAGTCTGGGTTCCAGCCCTGGCCAGGTTATTTTGATATATTAGAAGTGAACAGGACACTTAGCTTGCATAAATTTAATGCTTCTCTCCAGCCAGCTTTATAAATGGACACCAAAAAATTTAATGTTGAGGAGGTAACCTAGGGATGGACTCACCCATACCCCTAGTTGTTTAATGGCAGCTTACAGAAAATGGGATAAGCTCTGGCAGTATTGACCACTTGGGCTGCTGCAGATTTTACCTTTCATTATAAATCATTTAAATAATCCCCCATTTATAACCCCCTGCATTGTATACCTCACTGGCTGGTATTTGCCATTATGAGGAAGCTTCATACAATGACCTCTTTGCTTTGTGTATTTGTTTCCTTACTTGTGGCTTGTGTTTTTTATTCTCATCAACTTAAAACATCTTAGGTTCTATAATGCTGGATACTGGTTTAATCTGCTCATTTGAAGTGTTATTTTTTTTTATACCGCATATAAGACCACCCACTTCTCCCTGGATATAAGCCCCCCCTTTTAAAAACCCACCCAAAGCCGATTATAACCCAAATTTTATTGTATGCATAACACTTCAGCCGTTACAGTTTTGACCATTAATTTTTATTTAGCTTTGTGGACGATCAAACCTTAGACGAGACAAGTGGACAAAGCACATTTGAACAACAGAGCTTTCACGAGAATGGTGGGTGCCTAAAATAAGTTGAGAGTAATCTGACAATAACTATTCTGGCAATAATGAAGGCCAATTCCAAAATTACTTGTCTTCAGTTACAATGTAGAACTCTGATCAAGTTTCCTAAACCACTGATATCAAATCTTGAACATAAACTATTTAGTATGTTATTTATCTCTTTTTGTCTTAAAGACCTTGTTCCATACTCCTGGCCTGAAAGTTGACTACAAGCAGTTTAAGGCTGGATAGGTTAGGATGGCTAACCTATCCAGCCTTAGACTGCTTGCAGTCAGCTTTCAGGCCAGGAGTATGGAACAAGGTTTTTAAGACAAATAGAGATAGAAAAGAGACAATGCTGCAGCATGTCTTCTTGATCATACCACACCCTGTATCAATCATTATTTGGCATTTTTGGTCTGGTTGCACCCTAACAGAGAAGAGTCTTGTATATAGCCTTGATTTCATGTGACACATGTAATACATCGTAGGTTCTTTTATTATATAAAAGTTAGTGGTATACCAAGTGGTAAAAAAAAAGGAAAGTGGTAACAAAATGATAAAAACGATATGATATCATTTTTGATAACATTTTTGTTTTGTCCTTTTAACTACACTTAAATTTGTTGGTGTATGATCGAAACATCTTCAGATCATCTTCTTCAGTCATCTTCAGCAATCCTCAGTTATCTTTGGTAACCTTCGAAAAATGTTTGGAAATCTTCGGAAAATGTTTGTTTGGTCTTTGGACAAATTCTGGAAAATCTTCGGAAAGTGGTTGGAAATCGTCAGAAAATTGCTACAAATGTTGTTAAATATTGTGAATATTTTACACAATAAAAAGAAAATTACATGGTCGCTGCTTGGAGATAGGAAATTTGTGTTCTTGTGTTGAAAAATATTCAACACTCGAAGATAAATTTTGTACCTCTGTGTGGCCATGTAATATCCTTTATGTAATTTCTCATTCAACAGATAAAAATATAGATTTCAAAACTCCATAAGGTGACTCCTTTTAATGATGTTGAAGTTATTTAGTGAAAATATCTATCTTACAATGTTCCTTAAAATATGGTCCAATATTTCAACTGTTTACCATGATTGCTTCTTTTTAATGCTGTCCTTGATCACCTGTTTGCTGTAATATCTTCCCTAGCTTCTGTTTCCTTCTTAGGTTTTATTATGAACTTGCCGTTCTTGAGATGAGTTCATGTTCCTTCCATGTCATTTACCAGTTCCTGTCTAAATGCACAGATTCTTTCTCTCTCAGATTCAATAACTGAAGACCTTGGTGACACGACAATTTTCTACGACTGGAAGGAATGCAGCACTGTATTTGACCAGTCAGCTGCAGTTTTAAATGACTCTGTAATTGTTCCAGAGACTCTTCGAAAACTCTCCGATAGTGAGCTCAGGAAAGAGTTACAAAAATATGGAGAAATTCCGGGTCCTATCATGCCAAGCACAAGGAATGTTTACATCAAAAGGCTGGCTAGACTTCATTGTGGTGCAACGAATTCAAAGGTAATATTGCTCAGAACTTGTATAATACTAACAGAATGGGAGAGAGCAAAAAGTGTAAACATAAATGTGGTACATGAGAAAGCACCCCTGGCTAGTGTATCACACCAAGGCTGTGATCTAAGAAAAATTATGAAGAGCTCAAAGGTTCCTAACGATGAAATCCTGGGTGTGTAAGTTTTTTCCAGTCACCCAAAGGCAAGTAAAGTTAGTCGCCTGTGGCACCCGGGCACTTCTAGAGCACAGACCTGCACGCATTGCTCTCTGCCCCACAACATTGCCTGTTTTGCCAGTGTACAGAATGGAGAAGTGGGGAGGGGGTGAATGAGAATGGTTGTGGCAGGTTGTGGCAATGGGTTAAATAACCTGACCTCTGGCCTTGATTCTCTTAATCCCAATACATCAAGGTGGGGCCTGTTCATTTAGTCAGAAGAGTTAGTTGTTTCATTGGTGCCAGCAGTGTACAAACCTAAGGAATAGAGGGGGTAAATTTCTAAAGAAACTGTGGTACTGCATCGGTGGGGAGTATAACAAGATAATTTGGTTTTATCGACTGGGTTGATAATGTGAATTGGCCACCATAAAGAGATTTGAAAGCTGACATTTCGAGCGTTAGCCCTTTGTTGGAGTGACTCTAACGCTCGAAATGTCAGCTTTTGAATCTCTTTATGATGGCCAATTCATATTATCAACCCAGTTGATAAAACCCAATTACCTTACAAACCTAAGGGAATACTACTGATTAGGATGTTAGAATATTACCAAACATCCATTTACAGTGAATACTTCTGAGAGAAGAGAAGTGACCCCACCCAGGGCTTGTCTTTATCCTGGAGACCAGTTCACTTTATCCCACTTTCTAGTGCAAAGTCAGCTTCATCAATTTATCCCAGACTAGACTGCGCGCAGTCTCTCTTTTCCTCGAAAATCCGTGAGGAAGAACGCAAAACAAGTAAGCGCCTGAGCCTCACCGTAAGTGTGACTGTGAGCGTGACGTGCGACCAGCGCTAGAAGCCCGCGCGACTAGCAGCTCGCGGCAAAGCCACTCGCCGCTCGCACGTCACACTCACAGTCGCTTACAGTCACGCTTGCATGCTCTCTTGTTTTGCGTTCTTCCCCACGGATTTTTGAGGAAAAGAGAGACTGCTCGCAGTCTAATCCCAGACTGCTTGTCAGACATTTGTTATCTCTATTCAAGGGAAATTCTGTTTAAGAAATGATTGAATCATCCAGACACTTGTACTTGTGGTTATATGCATTTGTGGTGTTCTTGTGTGATTTCCTTTAACCAATCAAAGCAGAGAGATTATTTTTGTTTCCTCCAATCAGGAGCAAAGCCTATTGCTCTTTGTGAATCGGTGCTTCCATTTTTTGCCTCATGACTTCTATGATTGAATATTTTCCTGCCCTTGTCACCTCTTACCTACTTACATGTGCACAGCTGCAGTTTTACTTTAAGGCGATTCCACTGAATGGACCATTTTCGTATTCTCGGTATTGGACTGGAACTAGCTTGTAATGGAGGCTCATGCGGGGGAATACATTAAAAAGAGATGAATGTCATTTACATTTGAAAAGACTCCCCCCAATAGCCTCACTTGCAAGCTAGTTCCAGTCCTATGCCAAGAATACTGCGGGCAATTTACGGGTCATAAACCCGCGCGCACGAGTGCGTGCACATACACAGAATTTTAAGATATTCTTCAGCTAAGCTCCACAGCGAAATCAATGCTTGTTTTCTCTGGTGCTAAACGAGCGTTGTGACCCCCATTTTTAATGCATCAATTTAACTGACACACGGTTGACTACGATATATCGCGAATCGGCGATTAAAAGAAAAGTTAAAAATTCTTTTTTTGAGTATATTCTTTTTTTTTATCTGAGTACTGTACAGAACGCGCCTGGTTACGCATGTAGAGAATTCTTTCATTTTGTTCAATCTTAATTCCTTTTCTATTAAAATTTGTTTCAAAGTCTCAACGTATATTTTGTTGAAGGGCTCCAACATTTCACCAGTAATGCAAGAAATGACTTTTAACAAAGGTTACAGTTTCGCCTGCCTTCCTAGTAACTAGGGTTCCAAAGGAAACCCTAAGAGGTCAAAAGTTACTAAAAACCGCCATTCATGTTGTAGGAAAAAAAAAAGCATGTTTTGCATTATTGCAAGTAATACCCACTCCTTTTTCGATGGAATCCCCTCGATATTATTGTTATCAACAGCGTGGGAAACATCAAGCAGTTATTTATCATAACATAACAATGTTTTTCAGGACACACAATATAATGAGTATCTTCCTGAGCTCAGAAAACATCTCGAAGGACGAGCGGCGACCCCGGATGTATTTGCTTGTGAAGAATCCATGTGCATTGAGTTTGACCGTAAAAAGAATTGGCGGGAGGGGTGAGTTGGTATTATATGTGAATGTTTTCATCAGTGATAGAGCGATTTTCGAATGAACCTGACAACCTGTTCCCCCGCATGCTAGCTATTTGTATCATCCTGGTAGATGGAAGAATTTAAAGAACATTTGCGCGTTTTCCTGCTAAAAATACCCCTTATATGGAGGGCGCTGTTCGATTAACCTATCATAATGCTTGAAATTGGGTGAGGTCAGAGATTGGTTACTCGCAATCCACTCGTCTGGGCTAGTTTGCTACTAGGGACCTTAAGCAAACCACGACGGCAACGGCAACGAGAACGTCACCAAACAAAAGGTTTAACGAGCAATGGCTGTGCACGTGCGTTTTTGTTTTTTCTGTTTTTTTCATTTGGAATTGAACGCTGGCATTACATATTTAGCTTGAGCAAGTTATGAGACCAATAGGCGCACTGAACAGATCTGGACAATTTCGAAATTCGAAGATAAAATATAAATTCATCTTTTACTAGGCGTTGTCCTCGGGGTCGCCGTCGTGATTGCTTATAGTCTCTATTAAACCAACCAAAACCGCCTGCGTTTTCCTCCGTTCGCTAAAGCCAAACAAATTGCTTCTTCCCACGAGTTGGTTAGTTGGTTTACTGTTTAGTTTACATTTACAAGTAATCAGACCAGTCGCTCGGTCTTTTTCGTGAAGGACTGTCAACTGAGAAACTGTATACGAAGCCTCTCGTATTGGAGTCATTGCCACGCATTTTTCTCCCTTACGCTTTTTCTAGTTTCTCCATCGAAAAAAAAATAAGCGACTGTACGAAGTCTTCTCTAACCATTATATCACATTTTTTTTTCCATTGCCTTACTCAGAACTGAAAAGTCATCTTTCAACTACTTACTAATTGACCCGCGTGTCACACAAAATTTACCAGCGAGAGCCAAAAAGATGACCGCAGAAGACGTTTTCAGAGTGTTCATTATGTCCATCTTCTACGTTGGGAAGGGTAAACGTTCAAGGCCGTACGCTCACCTCAACGAAGCTCTGAACTCTGCAAAGGTAAGGGATAAGTGATGTAACGTCTGCAGCGACTGGCAAATTCCAAAACGAGACGAAACAAAACGAGCTCTAGGCGTGTCGCGACAAACTAGTGGGTGGGACTACTTTACAGGTGGTCTTCAAGGGTAGACAAGTAAACCACGGAAAACCAAAGTTGACGGTTATCGGCGATTTATTGCATCAACATAAACGATCGTCAACTGAAATAACAATATGTAACGAATTTCTATTCAATTTAGCGGAAAAGTTGCGTAACAAATAGTCAAAACTTACACGAGACACGATAACAATACATCAAAAAAAAGCCAGCGTAAATACTACGCTAAGATACTAAATAAGATTCGATCACAGAAGTAAACAACAAAAGGAACTAATCAACAGCTCAATGCTTTCGAGCCTAAAAGGTGGGCGTTCACTCTAGTAACGTTCAGAACACTTTCTAATTTAGACGATTATAAATCAATTAACATTGTAC